ACTGACAAAGTAAACATATCATGTATCATATGAACATTTGCACTAAGTAAACATCTGTACTGACAAAGTAAACATATGTACTAAATGAACATTTGCACTTAGTGAACATCTGTACTGAGGTAAACATATGTAGTATTAAGTGAACATCTGAACCAAGTAAATGTCTGTAATATTACTAAGTGAAAATCAATTTTCAGAATACTGTATAAGTGGTAATTTTGCCTAATCATTTATTTTGCCTATTTCCTAATTTTTGCCAGATTCGGAAAATTAAATGTCGGAAATATTGTCTTTATAATGTTATCCAATGGGAGGTTTCTTGTCATTAGGAAAATTAAAATTAGGAAAATGATGAAACTTCACCATTCGGAAAATTAACCACTCGGATTAAATACCACTTATACAGTATACTCAGAATATACTTGAAATCTGTATTAAATATTCTTTCTAATTACTAAATCAATGCATGTGCATGTATATGAATTTGAATAGCATTATATGTGCATATGTGCAGCAATATGGACAGCTACATTGCAGTATCTACAGCAAGATGTACAGCTACATCGCAGTATCTACAGCAAGATGTACATTAATATACAGCTGAACTGCAAAATGCAGCTAAATTGCAATATACAGCTAAAATGCAAAATACAGCTGAACTGTAATATACAGCTGAACTGCAAAGTGCAGCTAAATTGCAATATACAGCTAAAATGCAAAATACAGCTGAACTGTAATATACAGCTGAACTGCAATATGTAGCTAAATTGCAATATACATCTGATATACAAGATACAGCTGAAATGCAATATACAGCTGAAATACACGATATACAGCTGAACTAAAATATACAGCTGAGCTGCAATATTAAATTGAACTGCAATATACAGCTAAAATGTAATGTACAGTGAACTGCAATATACAGCTAAAATGTAATGTACAGCTGAAATATAATTTATACAGCTGAACTAAAATTTACAGTTGTATTGCAATATTAAATTGAACTGCAATAAACAGCTTAAATGCAATATAGAGCTTACTACATAATATAACTATAAATGGCAAAGCTTTGGCACTTTCAATGTCCTTAAATAATTATGCATTAAAATAATCGTACAACCTTTAAGTGTAACAATGAGATTGTGCATCCCATGAAAGATATTCTGCTATGAATGAAACCATTACTGGTATGTTAATATAATATATATGATATATAATATAATATATATGTTAATATATATATACTAACCCTTATTGTTGAAAAGATCAAACACCTCAATATTTGTACAATGTTTAATATATAACCCTGATAAAAACAAACAAAAAAAATTTACAAACAAAAAGTTTACATTTCAAAATTCCTGTTCTGTGTCCAATTGTCGACTGAAAAATGAAGTTAATTTCTTGTTGGTTGAACCCTCCCTCAGGGAGATATGAGCACTCATACATATGCCGAGTACTCAATAAGTACAGAATTAGTGCTAAATTAGCACTCGTGGCATGAGTGCTCATGAGCGTGCTTTTGCAAGAGTGCTAATTTAGTACTAATTTTGTACTTATTGAGTAATCAGCATATCTCCCTGTGATGATTCAAACTCTGAAATTGCTAATTTGCTTTTCAATTGTACTTTTTCCAAAAATCATTCTTCACTGATGAAATCTTCATTCATCTCCCTTTAACAAAATTAATTTCTTCCCCAACAACTGTTGACAATAGGACATTATCTCTGTTTATCAAAATTATTCATGCAAACATATATACAGCTGGCAAGATTGAAATCGGATTTCAAAACCCTTTTGAGGATTTTTTACAATAATAAGCATCTTTCTTTCTACATTCCAGAATTACATTTTCTTAAACAAAATATACTGTAGTTTGATATTGTTATATGAACGACCATTTTATGGATTAGTGAATGACACTTATATTGAATTATTATATGAAGAATTTTATACAATTGTAGATACATTTACATGCAATAAATATAATATAATACAATACTAAGATAACAATATAATGCTAAGATAATATAAACACACTAATATACTAAGAGCACCTAAATATATAATGAAAGGAAGCATGCGTTTTTACAGTACTCTATTTCACAAAATTGTACTCTCTTCGTTTGCTTTAAAATGCTTGTTTCCCCAGCTAAATGGCTAGGTGTTACTGGGCGTTACTGTACTTCTACTTCATTTGGCATTTTATTGTTTATGCAACATTAAGTAGGCACCAAATTCAACATTTCAATCGTAAATTTCTATGGTATATACAAGTATTTTAATATTGCAAGTCTGCCAAATTAAGAACCACCAAATTAAGTAGAAGTACAGTCATCATGAAAATTCATAAATATAAATGAATCATTCATGAATAACTGGAACATTGTGGTTCTCCATGTTCTTTAATTATTCATGAAAATTCATCAAATTTCCAAAAATCAATGGTATTCACACTGCAATTTGTTATGGCACCTTAACTGTAATACTGATGACCCAACGGATCCTGGAAGAGATGATACATAAATGCTAAATAAAATAGATCAAAAATCATAAAAATGACAATATTCATATTGCTCAGGCCCTGGTCGCTGATAAAGAGATAAAGTAAATAAAAAAAGAGATTCCATTCCTTTGTTCTCTCTGATTCAACTAAATTCTAATATACTTGAAGTGTAATCCAATCTTTACCTTTCAAAGGTACAATAGTATAATAATATATACTTTAGGTGATGGGTTAACATTTCAATTACATTTTTATGTGAATCTAAGCTCAAAAAACTCCCTCCCTCTCAAACATATCGAAAAAAGGGAGCTCTAAATCAGTTATTGCACATTAACTTAATCACTAATACTTAAAGCAAATCTTTACATAAGAAATTGGTTCAAAAAAACTAATCTTAACTGGAATAACCCTAGGAGTTTCTCATGAATAGGCCCACTGGGCATTTATTTTGCACAGGGTATTATTTTAAATGGGCCTTTATTAAGTGGGGAAAACCATTTTTCCAAGGGGATTGGCGTTTATTAAGGGGGGAAATATCTTTCCCAAGCCAGTGGGTGTTTATTTCGAGTCAGTTCGAGGGCATGAATGTTGACCAATATGTGACCTTTTGACATATTTTTGCTACACCATGTCAAGTTTACAAAAATTATCTGTTCTGTTTTTTCCTGGGCAATTTCGATCCTTTTCTTGAATGTTTTCGCCCACTTGACACTAATTGGGAATTCCTCAAAATGAATGACCATGGGCCTTTAAAAAAAGGGGAAAAACTTTTTCATACACCACTCTTTCAAACAAGTGCTCATGGGCCTAAATTAAATGTTTTGTCTATATGTATTATTTGAATCCCCACCATGTTGATAAAAAAGCATTGCACAGAAACCATGCACAACCATACAGATTTTTTGTCACAAAAATTGCACAAATGTGAATAACAATACTTATATAATAAAAATTTGCTGTTGAAATGACTCACTAGTTTCTCTAATTATACAATCTTTTTCATTTTTCTAATATTTTAACATCAGTCACTTTAATATTCATTGGTTGAAATGTGTAGAGATACAGAATACTGGAGCACATCAAGTCATATTCAATGAAAATCTACATTATTTCAAACTCATTATTCAAAATATTCTACAAATTTCCCCCTCTTAATTTTCCAATCTCTTCCCTTTTTTAATATTCTAACATCTGTCTTCAATTCTCATATGTTGTGAAAATATGCAGAGTACACAAAATACTGGAGCACTTGAAAACAAAATACTGGAGCACTTGAAAAGAAAATACTGGAGCACTTGAAAAGAAAATACTGGAGCACTTGAAAACAAAATACTGGAGCACTTGAAAACAAAATACTGGAGCACTTGAAAACAAAATACTGGAGCACTTGAAAAGAAAATACAGGAGCACTTGAAAACATACTCAGGGAAAATATTCTACACATTTCATCCTCCAAATTCTACTAGTAATGAAAACATCTGACCTCATTATGATTGAGATTATTTCTACCCCCATAAATGTGGGATTGATTTTTCAAATCACAACCCCACAACTACTTGGGTTTTGAAATATTGTAAGCTTTGTGTCAACTACTGACAATGTTTTTTAGCCCAAAAATTTCAATACACAAGTATTTCCAGTATGGTTCTACTGTCTTTTTAACAACATGATATTTAGCAGTTAAGCTGCACTACAATATTTCTAACTAAAAAAAGGCAATAGACTGTATATTATATTGCATATTGTACATTGTACAGTTGCAATTTAATTGCGAACAAAAATATACGGACATTATTACAGTTATTATAAACTGCTATATGGTTTTGTAATGGTGATTCCAAATATGGTCATAAGATTTCAGATTCATCAATTACATCCAAATATGGTGTACCCCATTATATTACATTATGATTATCTATATTATAAACTGCTACATGGCTAAGATATAAGATTTCAGATTCATCAATTACATCCAAATATGGTGTACCCGATTATATTACATTATGGTTTTCTATATTATAAACTGCTACATGGCTTTGCATTGGTGATTCCAAATATGGTGATAAGACTTTAGATTCATCGAGTACATCCAAATATGGTATTAATTTACTTAGTAAAGAGTAGGAATTTTTGAAATGCATATTCCCGATAATAGCAATTTGAACTATATTTGATTCCAGTTGTTGATTCCAGGTTGGGGAAATTTTTCGTTTGCTGAAATTGTTATACATGTCGGGGCCCAAAAAACCTTTGAATGATGCATAAAATGTACATGCATGTTACAGTCTATTTTGGGTGTAATGAGGGTGATGACTTCCTCTCCAACTCATTTCCAGTAAGGGGAGATCCCTTGTATCGGACAGTCTAATTTTGAGTGTATCTGAGGGTAAATAGGACAAGCTTCCACTGGTACGAGATTTAGGTTGACATAGCCGGTTAAGTCCTTTGGTACAACACCAGTGCTGAAGTAACCAGCCCAAATGACGAAAACGGCACTTAGCTTCCGCAGAAACACTTAGGTTGACATAGCCGATTATGTTCTGTGATATAACACCAGTGCTGAAATAACCAGCCCAAATGATGCACAGAAAAACAAGTTTAGCTTAAGTCCAAATATCACTATGGATAGAACAGTCGTCACTAACATTGCGCAGGAAATTATAAACAGCCTCGTGATATTGTTTCCGTGTTTAAAGATGGCCGACATTAGGAGACCGCAAAATGCTTGTGACATAATAAGTAGAACTGTATATATTGTGTAGCCATGAAAAGGATTAAAACCAGCATCTGAAAATGAAATAAATTTACATTTTAAAAATTGTCGATCAGTAAAGTATTAAACAATCTCTTTTGAGTGTATTTGCTGGTGAATGGGGCATGCTTCCTCCAACATACTCATGACAACTGAAAATTGATTCTCTTTTTTGATTCAATGTAAATTAGGAAAAATACAAGGCATTAACATGACAAAATGTCACCACCTAGTTGCTCACAATATTATGAGTTCAAACTTAAGTCAGATTTGAATTTCTGAGAACTTGTAAAGTCAAATTTGAACTTCTGAAAAGATGTAGATGATTTTGAAAAAAAAATTTGGTCAATTTGAAGCAAGTTGAAAACAGACCTTTTTGACCTTTTTGATCTTGAGAAGGTCATTAAAGGTCAAATGTCAAATCTAAAGTCAGATTTGAATTTCTGAGAACATGTAGATGATTTTGAAAAAAAAATTAGTCAATTTGAAGCAAGTTGAAAAAAGACCTTTTTGACCTTTTTTGACCTTGAGAAGGTCATTGAAGGTCAAATGTCGAATCTAAAGTCAAATCTAAAGTCATATTTGAATTTCTGAGAACATGTAGATGATTTTGAAAAAAAATTTAGTCAATTTGAAGCAAGATGAAAAAATACCTTTTTGACCTTTTTTGACATTGAGAAGGTCATTGAAGGTCAAATGTCAAATCTAAAGTCAGATTTGAATTTCTGAGAACATGTAGATGATTTTGAAAAAAAATTTAGTCAATTTGAAGCAAGTTGAAAAAAGACCTTTTTGACCTTTTTTGACTTTGAGAAGGTCATTGAAGGTCAAATGTCAAATCTTAAGTCAAATCTAAAGTCAGATTTGAATTTCTGAGAACACGTAGATGATTTTGAAAAATTTTTATAGTCAATTTGAAGCAAGTTGAAAACAGACCTTTTTGACCTTTTTTGACCTTGAGAAGGTCATTGAAGGTCAAATGTCAAATCTTAAGTCAAATCTTAAGTCAGATTTGAATTTCTGAGAACACGTAGATGATTTTGAAAAAAAAATTTAGTCAATTTGAAGCAAGTTGAAAACAGACCTTTTTGACCTTTTTTGACCTTGAGAAGGTCATTGAAGGTCAAATGTCAAATCTAAAGTCAGATTTGAAGGTCAAATGTCAAATCTAAAGTCAGATTTGAATTTCTGAGAACATGTAGATGATTTTGAAAAAAAATTTAGTCAATGTGAAGCAAGTTGAAAAAAGACCTTTTTGACCTTGAGAAGGTCATTGAAGGTCAAATGTCAAATCTAAAGTCAGATTTAAACTTCTGAGAACATGTAGATGATTTAGAAAAAAATTGAAGTCAGTCTAAACAGTATTTGTTAAGTTATAGGAAGTTGTAAGAAATTGTTACAGACGCCGGACGCCAACCACCAACCGCCGTCGCAAAAAAAACGGAGACCATAACAATATGTCACCACTTTTGGTGGTGACATAATAAACCATGAGAGGATTTACAGAAAAATATAAATTTTTTATTTTTTTTTATTTTATTTTTTTTATTTATTTATTAAAATCATATTAACATATTTACATAATAATGATAAAGACACCCCAGGGGGTGTATGGCTTATCACAAGCTAGAACATTTTAAAATTGCATATCATTAAGTTGTAATTCTTTATAAATTGATCATCCAGCACAAAACATTTATCTTTCAGTTTTGACATAATGTCGAGCTATTTTCACATTGTCGATACTTGATTTAATTGACTAAAACATCCCTGAAAATTGCCCTGCAAATGCATAGACAAGACTGATTGGAACTCTCACCCATCGTCTTGCTCACTGCCATGCAAACTGATCAAATTATAGCCCCAAAGGGTGAGATCGAGACTACATACCTTTATCACCTGATGTTAATGCCTGTATGACAAATGCGCTTCCATTCAACACAATACCAAAAGTATATAACAATGTATTTTGTAGGTGGATTGATGTCTGCAAAAGAGATGAACATGTTTACAAATTGCCTCAGAAAATAATCTTTATAGTGCAGTCAGTTAGGTCAATAAAACCATAGAATTGCACATGCTATAAAGCACCATTTTTTGACCAAAGCATCTTTGGTACATATATTTTTGATATCTAACGAAGTTGTGTTGAAAAGTCCTCCCAGTTGATGATAGCAGGCCTCGAAAATCTTGCCCATTTACATTGAGCTCCATGTTAATTCATCAATCTTCAAAAGACCCCCTGCAGAACAGTTCTAAAGTAATAAAGCCCATATTCCTAGTATCTTACAATAACATGATTATCTTTAAAATAAGAAGGGTTGTTTTTTTCTTTTGCCTAGTTCCAAAGATATTGGCGTTTGAATTTTGGAAAATCTCCATTGGCTGCCATTATAAACCGCTATCAAGATGGCTTTATTAAAGTGTCCTTTTCTGAAAAAGTCTACTATGAAATTTTCTTATATTGCAGATTTCTATAGTCAATATATTGACCTTAAAGAAATCAAACAGGCACATTTCTAAAAATTTCTGATTTTTAATATATTTAGCAGTGAAGTTGTATAAAAAACCTATATTGAGTCCCATGTTAATTTATCAATCTTCCAAAGACCCGCTGCAGAACAGTTTTAAAGTGTTGAAGCCCACATTCCTAGTGTGTTACAATAACATAATGATCTTCAAAATAAGAAGAATTGTTTTTTTTTATCTTTTGCCTACATCCAAAGATACTGACATTTGAATTTTGGAGAATACCCATTGGCCGCTATCAATATGTCTTTACTCAAGTGTCATTTTCTCATAAACTCCACTATGGAATTTTCTTATATTGCACATTTCTATAGTTAATATATTGACTTTAAAAAATCGAAAAGGCACATTTCTAAAAAGTTTTTTATATATTTAGCCATTAAGTTGCACACAGGTTTTTTATACAACTTCACTGCTAAATATATTAAAATAAGAAATTTTTAGAAATGTGCCTGTTTTATTTCTTTAAAGTCAATATATTAACTATAGAAATCTGCAATATAAGGAAATTTCATAGTAGACTTTTTGAGAAAAGGACACTTTGATAAAGCCATCTTGATAGCATGGCAGCCAATGGGGATTTTCCAAAATTCAAACGCCAATATCTTTGGAACTAAGCAAAAGAAAAAAAAAACTTCTTATTTTGAAGATAATCATGTTATTGTAAGATACTAGGAATATGGGCTTTATTACTTTAGAACTGTTCTGCAGGGGGTCTTTTGAAGATTGATAAATTAACATGGGGCTCAATATAGGTTTTTATACAACTTCACGGCTAAATATATCAAAAATAAGAAATTTTTAGAAATAGGCCTGTTCGAATTTTTTTAAGTCAATATATGAACTATAGAAATCTACAATACTAAAAAATTTCATAGTAGACTTTTTGAGAAAAGCACACTTTAATAAAGCTATATTGATAGCAGTTTATAATGGCAGCCAATGGGGATTTTCCAAAATTCAAATGTCAATATCTTTGGAACTAGGCAAAAGAAAACAAACAACCCTTCTTATTTTGAAGATAATTATGTTGTTGTAAGATACTAGGAATATGGGCTTTATTACTTTAGAACTGTTCTGCAGGGGGTCTTTTGAAGATTGATGAATTAACATGGAGCTCAATGTAAATGGGCAAGATTTTCGAGGCCTGCTATTTTGAAAATTGATAAATTAACATGGGGCTCAATAAAGGTTTTTTATACAACTTCACGGCTAAATATATCAAAAATAAGAATTTTTTAGAAATGTGCCTGTTTGATTTCTTTTAAGTCAATATATCAACTATAGAAATCTACAATATTAGAAAATTTCATAGTACACTTTTTGAGAAAAGGACACTTTAATAAAGTTATATTGATAGCAGTTTATAATGGCAGCCAATGGGGATTTTCCAAAATTCAAATGCCAATATCTTTGGAACTAGGCAAAAGAAAAAAAACAACCCTTCTTATTTTGAAGATAATCATGTTATTGTAAGATACTAGGAATATGGGCTTTATTACTTTAGAACTGTTCTGCAGGGGGTCTTTTGAAAATTGACAAATTAACATGGGGCTCAATATAGGTTTTTTATACAACTTCACGGCTAAATATGTTAAAAATAAGAAATTTTTAGAAATGTGCCTGTTTGATTTCTTTTAAGTCAATATATTGACTATAGAAATCTACAATATTAGAAAATTTCATAGTGGATTTTTCTAGAAAATGAGACTCCTATATCTTTGGAACTAGGTAAAAGAAAAAAAAAAACCCTTCTTATTTTGAAGATAATCATGTTATTGTAACATACTAGGAACATTGGCTTTATTTCTCTTTAACTGTTCTGCAAGGGGCCTTATGAAGACTGATAAATTAACATGGAGCTCAATGTAAATGTGCAAAAATTTCGAGGCCTGCTATTATCATCTGGGGCAACTTTTTACCACTACTTCGTTAGATATCAAAAATATATGTATTCATGATACTTCTGTCAAAAAATGGTGCTTTATATATAGCATGTGCAATTAAAAACCTAACTGACTGCACTATTAAGCAAATGTTTACATTCACATTTTTGCAAATTTCTGCTGTTCTGAACAATATTAGTTATTTTATTTTCAGGTGTGAAATGCATAGTATTTCAGTAATACACTCAATGTTAGAAACTGCATTCTGAACTGACATCTATGATCTGACATCTATGAGCTGACATCCAGATAAATTATGGAAATCAATTTCGTGTGAATAACACACCCAAAGTGGGCTGGCTAAACTTGTAAAGTTATACTCAATTCTTTAATTTTTTGATTATGTACCTTCCACTATAAACAACGAAATAAACTAAACTATAAAAATAAATATAACATACCTGATAATGTCTTTTGAGGATATACTCGGTATAAACTCCAGCTAGGCCTGATATAAAACAGTAGATTGAAATCATAATGAGGCCTTTCATGGTTATGTGGATTTCCCCTGCTGATTTCTCATCTGCCTTCGCTTGGAATCCCCCATAGCTGTAAATAAAGAAATTGCAAAAATATTAATACTTGACTCCCCAGCATTAAATCAAATGGGCGCAACACCCACCTGAGATTTTGAAAGCAGCCTTGCACCCACCTGAAAATCCATTTGCACCCACTTGAAAATGAGAAAAATCGAGAAAAATTGGCATATTTTGACCAATTTTGGTCTGATTTGTGAAAATGAGAATTTTGCACCCACTTGAGAAAAAATCCTGGGGAGATCACTTGCAAGCATTTAATGTAAGAACTGTATATCCGAGGATCTGTCTAATCTGAACACATCTCAACGTTAAAGCTTTTTAGGTTTCATTTTTATGCCACCATCAAAAAGTGGTGACATATTGTGATGGTCTCAGTTTTTTTGTGATGGCTGTTAGCAATCATTGGTTGGCATCTATAACAAATGGTGGTGACATTTTGGATGTTAATGCCTTATCTAATCTACAGGTTTCCCCATCAAATACCATAAAATGTGCAGTGTTTGTGCACATTGCCATTCCAAACACATTTAGCCACTCCCAGAGGTATATTACATAAGTTTTACTGTACACTACAAAACATTCAATAGCAAAGAGACACAAAGATAAAACTGACACATTTCTGAATTTTAAATCTCAAACAATTTTGACCATTTGATAATACAAACTGGATCTATTGGGAGATTGAAACATAATAATATATATCATGAGCATGGACAGAAAAATAATGTAAGTAGGCATCCTTTAAACAGCCCTAACTGGTACATATAACAGCTGTAACTTAAAGAAACAAAGATAATTTGGAAAAACTGACACATCTCTGAACTTTGAATACATAAAAAATCTATTGGGAAATAAAGACATAAATCATGGACAGCCAAATAATGTGTTACGTAAGTGTAAGTAGTCACCCTAAAACCTCTAAAACCACTAAAACCTGTAAATACGTTACATTGATTTTAATAAATAAAAATTTTTTTTAAAAATCAACCATACCTGTTACAAATACCAGCCGTTGCTAAAAGACCCAATGAGACCCACTGTACGCCAGTTATTGGACGTTTTATTATCAGTCTGTATAAGAAAGCTGTAGATAATATCTTGAGATTCCCTAGGACCTAAAAATTTAAAAGAAATACTATGGTAAAAAATAAACTTAAAGAGAATTTAATCAATTACAAAATAAAGTACATTATTGTACAGGGTGTCCCGTATGTTTTAATAATTTTGCTCTAAAAATCAAAGTTTCTTTGCAAAATTATTAAAACATATGGGACACCCTGATCTGTAATGTTATCACACAAAACTGCATTGAAATATACATGTATGAAGAGCAGTCTCAAATTTTGTTTATGGTAGATATGATTTACAGAGACTTTGTTGTGTTTAAAATATTGCCCTTTTGTGTTCTCAAACGTATAGGGATATGATGGTAGGTTTTTTCATGGAAAATGCACTTCTCATCTTTTTATATTAAAACCTTTTGAAATATGTGCTTATTTCCTATACAACTAATACATATGTTTGAAACAGTTAATCATGTCAGCTAATCATGTCAGAAATAGATTAATCCAGTTAATCATGTCACCTATTGATGATGATGCTTACACTTTCAAGGCAGAAATGGGAATAACAGAATTTATTGTACATACACTATTGATTTTCTACACACAACATTCATTTTTTAATGAAACTTTTTAACCACATTTGCATTGTGGGATATCTACATGCACAAATATGGAAATGAATATGACCATATAAGGACATATTCTCTCATAGGCTGATGTGATAGTTTTACCTGGTATGTAGCAGGGTCCATTTGCAGCTGCATGTGGGCTGATATATTGTTATTCAGTGCATATAGTATAGCAGGAACAGCGAACAACATTACATAACTTAATGTGGGCCTCGGGAAGCCATTTTCTTTAATCTCAGGTAACAATGCTGTGATTGAAATAGTTATCTGAAAACAGAAAAAATAACTATCCTAAAATAAGTATTTCATGTGAGAAATTCCTGGAATGTGTTTAATTTGTTGCGTTAAAAACAATGCATTTAATTAGTTTTATTATAAGAGGCATGTCTTAGGAATATTCACTCATTTGGGTCTTTCAACTGTTAGTTGTTACTCTAGATTTAAACAATGTATAATAGCTTTAATACTTTAACACCTCTATAGAGAGTACTATTGAAGCAGTATTGAAGAACATTTACTTTTAATACTTCTATAGAGAGTACCATTGAAGCAGTATTGAAGAACATAATACCTTTAGTACTTCTATAGAGAGTACCATTGAAGCAGTATTGAAGAACATAATACCTTTAGTACTTCTATAGAGAGTACAATTGATGCAGTATTGAAGAACATTTAGCTTTAGTACTTCTATAGAGAGTACCATTGATGCAGTATTGAAGAACATTTACCTTTAACACTTCTATAGAGAGTACCATTGAAGCAGTATTGAAGAACATAATACCTTTAGTACTTCTATAGAGAGTACCATTGAAGCAGTATTGGAGAACATAATACCTTTAGTACTTCTATAGAGAGTACAATTGATGCAGTATTGAAGAACATTTACCTTTAACACTTCTATAGAGAGTACCATTGAAGCAGTATTGAAGAACATAATACCTTTAGTACTTCTATAGAGAGTACCATTGAAGCAGTATTGGAGAACATAATACCTTTAATACTTCTATAGAGAGTACAATTGATGCAGTATTGAATAACATTTACCTTTAGTACTTCTATAGAGAGTACCATTGATGCAGTATTGAAGAACATTTACCTTTAACACTTCTATAGAGAGTACCATTGAAGCAGTATTGAAGAACATAATACCTTTAGTACTTCTATAGAGAGTACCATTGATGCAGTATTGAAGAACATTTACCTTTAATACTTCTATAGAGAGTACCATTGATGCAGTATTGAAGAACATTTAGCTTTAGTACTTCTATAGAGAGTACCATTGATGCAGTATTGAAGAACATTTACCTTTAGTACTTCTATAGAGAGTACCATTGATGCAGTATTGAAGAGCATTTACCTTTAATACTTCTATAGAGAGTACCATTGATGCAGTACTGAAGGGCAACTTGCCATCAACTTCACACAAATGGACTAGTATAGTATATGAGGCATAGATAAACACACTGAAATATAGAAGGCAAGACCTTGAGAATATATGAAGCAAATGTATTCACGCGGTCCTAACTTCGACCATCAATTTGAATATTTGACCTACCGGATGTTTGAAAATCAAGGATTGCGACTCTCATACTGCACCGTTTTTCTTCAAACTTATACCATTAAAAGCAGAACAAAATTGCCTTTCTGTCGGTGCATTACTTTATTGTAAAGAGTCCCTCGTTCTAGCAGCGTTTTGGTCCCCAGCTGTTAGAAGGCCTTCTTACAGCTGGGGACCAAAATGCCGCTGGAAGTAGGGACTCTGTTTAAGAGAATAATGTACCATCAGAAAAGGATTTTTGTTATGCTTTGAATGGAACAAGTTTGAAGAAAAACGGTGCAGTATGAGACTCGTAATCCTTGATTTTCAAACATCCGGTAGGTCAAAAATTCAAAATAACGGTCGAAGTTAGGACCGCGTGGTATTAATAGTATAAAATTATATAGAAGCAAGTTTTTGAAATGCATGGAATGACTACTTGAACTATATAAAGCAAGTAATTGAAATATATAAAATGACAACTTGAAAGATATAAAGAAAGTAATTGAAATTTATAAAATGACTACTTGAACTATATGAAGCAAGTAATTGAAATATATGAAATGACTAGGCCTACTTGAACTATATAGAAGCAAGCAATTATCTAGAAGCAAGTTTTTGAAATGCATGAAATGACTACTTGAACTGTATGAAGCAAGTAATTGAAATTTATAAAATGACTACTTGAAAGATATAGCAAGTAATTGAAATATATAAAATGACTAATTGAACTATATGAAGCAAGTAATTGAAATATATGAAATGACTACTTGAACTATATGAAGCAAGTACTTGAAATATGTGAAATGACTGCTTGAAAGATATGAAGCAAGTAATTGAAATATATAAAATGACAACTTGAAAGATATAAAGCAAGTAATTGAAATTTATAAAATGACTTCTTGAAAGATATGAAGCAAGTAATTGAAATATATAAAATGACAACTTGAAAGATATAAAGCAAGTAATTGAAATATATAAAATGACTACTTGAAAGATATGAAGCAAGTAATTGAAATATATAAAATGACTACTTGAAATATATGAAGCAAGTAATTGAAATATATAAAATGACTGCTTGAAAGATATGAAGCAAGTAATTGAAATATATAAAATGACTGCTTGAAAGATATGAAGCAAGTAATTGAAATATATAAAATGACTACTTGAAATATATGAAGCAAGTAATTGAATCATATGAAATGACTACAGGAACTATATGAAGTAAGAACTTGAAATATATAAAATGACTATGCCTACTTGAAATATACAATGCAAGAAGTAATTGAAATATATAAAATGACTATGCCTACTTGAAATATACAATGCAAGGAGTAATTAAAATATATGAAATGACTATGCCTACTTGAAATATACAATGCACGGAGTACTTGAAATATATGAAGCAAATACAGACTTACCCGAGGCCTAGCAAGGATTTCCAAGCCAGGGGGCTGAATGGGTTTTTAGGTTCTGCCAACACCCCCTTCTCAATGTCACCTTGCCCTTTCATCTCTTCCCCTTGCTAAAAAAATATATATGTATATTTATCTTAAAGATAATTGTTCAACATAATTGAAATGACGTCATGAATTTTCAAAACTATCTACTAATCATTGATAATTTTGAATTTCAGCAAATAAGGTTTATTGAGCTCAATATGTTTTAATTTCCTCAGCCTCTCGTCGTAGTCCTTCATTACTTTTAACATAACCATTCCATCCTGACGAGCCCTTTCAAAACATCGACAGGTATACACAACAACCTGTCATTTGATTGTGATAAATGTGAAAATATTGTATTGTGGCAAAAAGAACAATAATATCATAATTCATTTTTGTGCATACATATACATCACTTCATCCATAATTGTTGTTTACTTTATATTATTACATTATTTGTATAACTGATTTCATATCGACATTATTGAAATGTGTATAACTGATTTCATATCGACATTATTGAAATGTTGAAATGGCATTTCCTTTGGTTATGTTAACTGATTGTTGACTGATAGACTGATACTCGTTTCTGAATTATTTCTATTCAGATTCAGATTCGGTAATTTTGAGTACTAACTGGGTATATCTTTGATGGAATAAACTTTTATAGGTTTTATATCAATTTTATGTGAATTTGTGGTGATCTATCAAAGTATTCCAATCCACTCCACTTTATAGTTACATCTATTCATGAGCCCCAAGGCCGTATCCATCATTGAAACAGTGTAAATAAAATCTTATGACAGTATATTTTCTCCTTTACCTCAAATTTGCCTCATTAATTTAAATTTGCCTCACCTAATAAGTCCTAATTGAATTTGCCTCACAAATTAAAATTTGCCTCACTAATTCAAATTTGCCTCACCAATTCACATTTGCCTCACCAATTCAAATTTGCCTCACCTATTTAAATTTGCCTCACCAATTCAATTTTGCCTCACCAATTCACATTTGCCTCACCAATTCAAATTTGCCTCACTAATTTAAATTTGCCTCAACCATTTTTAGATCCTCGTTTATGCCCATTATTTCAATGAGACATACCTGTTGGTCGGAATTGGACAGCAAAGGAACTTTGTCTTCCACTGTCTGCTTCATTGGTATTCAGGTTCACTCCAATGGCTTAATAACTTCACACATGCAGTCACTCTGTATTATGAATAAGGGAGTCCTGTAACATAGTAATGTTCCAGTATATGGTGTCTTATTACATGTTCATTAAATATGTATCCAGATCAACAGAAGCTGTTTTCAATATCAACCGATCTACATGATCCTTTGTACTGTATAGAATTACATAATGAATTATATTAAATGTGTGTAGTTTAATTTTGAATTTGAATTGTTACCCAAAGACAGTGTAGAGATAATTACTGTACTCTGACTGGGAAAGATAATTATAGTTGCTGATTAGATATTATCAACTACCAAAGTTACTGGTAACAATTTTTGGACCACAACCCATCATGGCCGAAAATCTAGCCCAAACCCTTCAAGAAATTTGATTGGTTCCTTAAAGCATTTCCGCCATCTGCGTGATATAAACATCAAGTACAGGGCTAAACCAAAATGATATCTAATCCATTGAAGTTAAATCAATTCTGTAAAAGGGTATATAAGCTCAATAAAAGTCAATAAATGGTATTAATGTTATATATAAAAACCATATGCCTCTGAAAAACATTGGAACATCTGCAGTCAAATCAACAATAGCAGGTTGTATACTGTAGATACTTAATTTGGCGGGTTTGCTCAATTTCAAATATTGGCAGCTATTTAATTTGGCGGGTTTGCTCAATTTCAAATATTGGCAGCTATTTAATTTGGCGGGTTTGCTCAATTTCAAATATTGGCAGCTATTTAATTTGGCGGGTTTGCTCAATTTCAAATATTGGCAGCTATTTAATTTGGCGGGTTTGCTCAATTTCAAATATTGGCAGCTATTTAATTTGGCGGAGTCAGGACTCAGCTCAAAATAAACATTTCAGATTAATGTTTTCTACTTTCAGAAGGTCTTAATCACTGACATCCAAAAAGTGAAATAATTGCAAATTACAAATTCTCTAGGGATTTCCAAAATTAAATACATGTAGATCTGAAAATTCGCGGATTTTTAATTTTGCAAAATTTTTTTGATCTCCCAATCCGTCAAATTAAAGTTTTACTTGATGAAAAAAAGAATAATAAAGAACATGGATATTCTAAATAATTTCAACCTCTTACGTTTATGAAGGTATCATCAAAGTTCAACATGGTCCTAATTAAATACATCTATAATTATTAAATAGAACCATTTTGAAGAAGTTTTACAGTAATCCCTAGCCCTCTTTAACTAAATCTATATTTTTCAATATTTTCTCATATTTATTTAAAACTTAAAGATCAATAAATTACTGAGCAGAATTTAAAAATAAAGCTCAATACCCTAGATGCGAGTAGAAATAATCTTGATTTACGTCATTAACAATTCAAAATTCATATTTGGAACCTACATGTAAAATTACATCTAAAAATGTGGTTTTGAAAAGAGTTTATCAACTTTGAAAATTTAATTTTCTTTGAAATTGTGACTTCTAGGTCGGGGAGATTCCCCATAGACCGAATGTTGTAAAACCACAAAAAGTGAAATATCTTTTCTTGTGTTGGGCAGATAATATTTTCTTTTACTGGACATATTTTAATTTCTATAACTATCACATACATAAGGGTAATATGAAAAGTGAAGCACTAAAACTAATGAATATTCAAGTTTAAGGGAATTTTGTAATACCCTACCATGTTATTTCCCCCGAATCAGCCACCTGGTGGCGAAACTGGTAACCACCTACTCGCATCTGAGTAATTAACCAAAATTGAGAGCAGAGACAGAGACTGCAGGGTTGTTTTATACAAAATGTATTGAACGGATGCCAATCCCCCCAAGCCCCCCCCCCCCCCCCTCCTGCCTCCTTCCCTGCCTTCCACAATGCCTACAGTCTCACTCTGGCAGCCTGACTAATTCAGAGGCTTTATTTACCAGACTGCAACAATTTATTTATACTTGTAGAATTCAGTGATCTCCACATCAGCAGCACCCAGTTGAAAATCTGAGAATTACATTCCCCTCTAGTTGAAAATCTGAGAATCATTCCCCTATTTGAAAATCTGAAAATCATTCCCCTATTTGAAAATCTGAAAATTACATGCCCCTAGTTGAAAATCTGAAAATCATATTCCCCAGTTGAGAATCTGAAAATTACATTCCCCCAGTTGAAAATCTGAAAAGCATTAGCATCCCCTAGTTGAAAATCTGAGAATTACATTCCCCTAGTTGAAAATCTGAGAATCATTCCCCTATTTGAAAATCTGAAAATCATTCCCCTAGTTGAAAATCTGAAAATCATTCCCCTAGTTGAGAATCTGAAAATTACATTCCCCAGTTGAAAATCTGAGAATCATTCCCCTAGTTGAAAATCTGAAAAATAACATTCTCCCAGTTGAAAATCTGAAAATCATTCCCCTAGTTGAAAATCTGAAAATTACACGTCCCCACTTGAAAATCTTAGAATTACATTCCCCCAGTTGAAAATCTGAAAATCATTCCCCTAGTTGAAAATCTGAAAATTACAATCTGAAAAAAAGATAGAATGAAAATTTAGCACCCAAATGACAAAATATCCTGGGGATATCACTGAAGTAACATATAAACAGATGTCTCAAGATAATATATGAAACCAGATGTTAGCAATATGGTAATAATTCAAATATGTAAATAGATTTCATATCATTGATTGCCATCTATCTATATCTATAAGCCATCTAATTACATATGTCTGGTTAAACCGATACCAGTTACTAACCAATATCAACTATAGTCGTGCTTCAAGTCTCAACCCTTTCTGTGTTGGGAAAGACTAAGAAAAGTCTATATATATGGGTCATAGTATCTGTAATTTCATTCAATATATTGTTAGTTAACTAAATTTGGTGCGATCTAATTTGGTGAATTGGGCAAAGTTGGAAAATTGGCGGATATTCAATTTGGCAAATTTAGCAAGAGTAAATGGCTGTGAAATTGGAGAATTTCATAGGTGAATCAGCATTAACAGTCACACGCGGTACTAATTTCGACCGTTAATTTGAATTTTTGACCTGCCAGATGTTTGAAAATCAAGGATTGCGAGTCTCATACTGCGCCGTTTTTCTTCAAACTTGTTCCATTCAAAGCATAACAAAAATGCCTTTCTGTTGGTACATTATTCTGCTATACAGCGTCCCTACTTTCAGCGGCATTTGGGTCCCCAGCTGCGAGAAGGGCTTCTCACAACTGGGGACCAAAACGCTGCTAAAACGAGGGACTCTTTACGATAAAGCAATGTACCAACAGAAAGGCAATTTCGTTTTGCTTTGAATGGAACAAGTTTGAAAAAAAACGATGCAGTATGAGACTCGCAGTCCTTGATTTTCAAACACCTGGTAGGTCAAAAAATTCAAATTAACGGTTGAAGTTAGTACCGCGTGAGTCATCATTCGAACAAATTCATAATCTACTTTAAAAAGGAAACCAATATGGTGATTAAGATTGAATTAGCATGCATTTGACACTTTATTTCCCTCAGAAATGTTTAAAATTGGTTTTAAAATTGTTTTATTTAGATGGGCGATAATAATAATCAATCACTAAGACCTAAAGTAATCTTCAAAATTCATCAAATGAATAAATAAGCTCTACTTATCAACTGGATGCTATCTTGTTGAGACTTTCTTACCCCAAATGGTCCAATTTATTGGATAAATCAGATCTTGAACATTTGAACCCGGATACACCATTTTCCGAACATAAATTACACTGAATGAAAATTTCCCGGGGATTTCTGAAAAATTGGCGAAGACATGAACTTGCGTATTTTTGCAATTTGCCAAATTCACCATATTAAATCGGTCACCAAATTAAGTTGACTAGCAATAATCTATTTCTAGTGCAAATAAAAATGTCTTTAATATCTGGGATCAATATACTCAAATAAAACAGCCACTCTACAGACAAGCATATCCCCCAAACAAAAAATCTTTTGATGAATAGTGGCAATCTGTTTTGTCAATTTTTTTTCTTAATATTCTAATAAATACTAACATCCAGAAGGATGTCAAGTGTATTCATTATAAGATGTTACTATATGTAACAAATTACTGCTGAATAAAAAAAGAGTAAGGCAACAGAGCTCATTGTCCCTAGGTATCAGCATATGAACCAAATCTGTCCACTAATATTTGCGTTATCAAATACTATATTTTTTACAAATAATAGTAACCATTTTGAAATCAAACTGTCAAAATTTCCTTCAACATCATGAGTTCGGAAATGGATTAACCAAAACAAAATTATCATACATCATTAAAATATAAATACTTTGCGAAGCATTTCAAATTATTTTTATGAATCAAAATTTACAAGATTTTTCTAAATGGTCTTGATGTGTTGTCTTTTTTATACAATTATTAATAAATGATGTACATGTACAATAATTTCATTCAGGTCAATTCCAGTTCTGAACATCTAGTGAAACAAATGGAAAGCAGGAATCAAATTTGACATAATTTATTTAATTAGGCCATATGACCACAGAGGCATCTATTGTCAAAGTCATCTGAAAAATACATTCAAGTAGACATTTGGCAAAGAATTGTTGTAGAGTAGATTTCATGGCCTGACTGCGTCGGTAGAACTTGAAAAATAAAATTTGCCTGAAGATTAGGAGTCTTACTTACCCTCTAGAGGTTACAACACATATTTCAATGAAACCATATCAGCTATGTTTTGTTTATGATGAAGCATAAGCACAGTACTTGATTGAAATTTCTGTTGATGCTTTTTGGACTTTTCCATTTCCCTTGTGTTTAATTCCGGGACCGCATTGCCTCTATCACGAAATAATGTATTGACCTTGAACTTTAATTTTGTGACATGTCATCCAACCATGTCTGATGTAAAATAATTAAAATATTAGAAAAGAATGTTTTGTGGTCTTTTGCAGACGAGTTTAGGACAGGGCAGAGGGGGATGGCCTGCTCTAAGATGGAAAAACTGCATGATCTACAGTTGAACTATTTGTCTGAATGAAATGCTGCGTGGAAAGTATGAATGGGTCGTCTGCTGTATTAGTCTATTAATACAGTAGGACCTGTTCGTGATGCTTTATAATTTAGACCAAAGTATAGAAGAATACACGCACGTGTAAATTATAAAATCTACGAACAAAGATTCAATTTTCACAAATGTTCGGTAATTTATTATATTGAAACTTCCGGAACTTACTAGGAAATCATTCATTTTCGTTTCACGGTCCATAATTTACCTCTTGGATATTGTGCTAAATGCTCAAACGCAACAAAGGTGATAGGGTTTCATTGAAATGTGTGTTCTAACCTCTAGAGGGTAAGTAAGACTCCTAATCTTCAGGTAAATCTTATTTTTCAAGTTCTACTAACGCAGTCAGGCCATGAAATCTACTAGTAAGTCTTCTGATACGTTTACAATCGGAGGAAGTCAATACATTTCTGTGCAAATCAGTTTAGCTGTATTCATCAGACATCAAAATTAAAACTCAATTTAGGCATATATCATTCCATAGTGATCCAAATAAATTCCCTTTTGCATCATTTTGGCAGGCTTGAGTACTGGGAGTACAAAATATCAAGAGTGGTCAACTGGATAAATTTTCATTTATTTTTGACAATATATTCAAACTATTGCCATTTTGATTGTTGAGCAAGATTTTAGATATTTCTGTTTGCAGGACGAGGCCGCACTTTTATTACCCACTGGAAGAATCTGTGTAAACCTGAAAAACATTTTCTTTGATTTCCGCCTCAGAATTTCAATGGGCGATAATATGTTATTTAGACATAGTATTGGGACAAAGCAAATCTAAACTCACCTAGTCGTTACGTCCCTGTTGGGACTCCTATCATAGAAAAGATATGGACCATTCATATATCAATACTTCTCAGTTATGTACTTCCAAACACAGAAATAAGCCTAGAAGAAAATGTCAAGTTTTTCAAAATTATGCTTTGGGAGCATAGATTATCTTATAACTAAAATATCAAAAACAACAACAATATTCCAACTTCTCAGACAAACAATTAATATAATGATTTATTTCATATTTTTGTGTATGAAAACCTGTCTAATTGTTTCAGACTCTAGTAATTTCATCTTGATTTTTAATTGAAAAGTCGACAACATTTTCTCCCTAATGAAATATTTTTTCCGGAAAATACCGAAGCTTACTTTTTCCACTTATTTTATAATTTGTGGGATTATAAACAAATAATAATTACGACATTTTATATATGAATTATAATGTGGCCATGTGGGATATAATACTTGACTAAATCCCGAAATATTAGCTCATTTTTCTTTACGAAAATGACGTCACAGACGTAAACACGAACAGGGAAAATGGCAAGAAATTAGAATTTCAGAATTTTTCGAAATACTTGTATTTAAAGACACCTTTAGGACTAATTTAATCATCAAAATGGATTTAGATGATGATATTCTGTATGAAGATGATTCTGGAAACGAAAGTAGCGAAAATGGGGACGATCAGTTCATGGAAATGAACATGGAACCAGAATCTAGTTCAAGTCAAAAACGAGACGAAGTCGATGACTTTCAGTTTGAAATATTGACTCCTGACAAAATTGTTTCTCATATGGTGGACTGTATAAAAGAAGTTAATGCTGTTGTTGAGGTAAATGAAATATTTATTTTCAAAAAATATAAACCACAGATTTTGAATGCTATCAAAATATTTATGAAGTCCCACCCAGAATTTGAAATGATCTCATCCAAGAATTCTAGTCATATAAATCCGACCATCGTATGCTTTATTTGTCATTATTTTTTGATAATTTGGATATTTATTTTTTGTTATTTTCTTGCATACTAGGGTCGTACACACTTCCCGGTTGTAAATTGAGGGAAATGCTTTCCTGGCCTGTTTAGTCAACCAAAATCACACAAATTATGTATTAGAATATGCTCTTCATCGATAATGTATTTAATCCTACCTTACACACGTCAAACGCTTGATAATTGAAGAAGTATAAGAATTTTTCTGGAAACAATTTTTTTCCCCATGTGTAGATGCATTCTGGGTAATGATTATGCAAAAGTAAAACTCTAGGTGAAGCGAAAAACAAAATTACAATAAATAACAGCAGCCATATTGAGATCGAGATTTCAACTCGAAAGTTTATCATCGTCTTATGACAATTGAATCGCCTTCTCAGACACCAAGGAGGGTGAAGAAACCGAAAACAGATATGTTGGTAATAAATAATTACGATTTCGTTTTGGTTGCATGGTTTCACATTTAGACTGTATTCAGTGACCTTGAGTGACCTTGAGAACCATATTGGAAATTGGTTCAAACATATACGAAAATGATTACATTTCTTCAATTATCAAGTATTTCCTGTGTCTAAGGTAAGAGTTAATACATTCTAGTTGAAGCATTGGATCCATTATCTTATCTGTGTAACTTTTGTTGAGCATAGAGGGCAGAAAAGCATTTACCGCAATATACTAGGCTTAATATCCTCGACGCAAATGTTGAAAACAAAAATAAAAAACAAATATCCAAATCGTCAAAAAGAAATGTGAAACAACAACATTAAGTCGAGTTCACTTGACTAAAGAATTCCACTTTGTCAGTGATTTGAAGTTTGCCATATAGTAAGGTGATGTTAGACTCCTGAAAATAAATGCACCTTACTTTGACTTGAATGAATTTACCATATTCTATGGCCACTGAGTGTGGCCATATAAATAAGACACTCTTTGTTGTTTTGAATTAGCCTTTATATTGCCTGGCCGTCTTATTTTTATTGATGTAAACATAATATACTCACCTTCATTGAACTTTACACGCAGTCCTAGTTCATAGAATCGTCTACTCGCATGATATGTATTCTTTTTTATAGTGAAATAAAATTTCTCCGATTTCCAACATTTTCCTGTCAACTAGGCTGCCATCTATATGTAAGCTTATTGAGAACAGACAAAAATGGGATGACTTTTATTTTAAATGAAAGCGTTCAATATCTCCTCAACAAGACAATTTGTTACCATTTCAATTCATGAAACATTAACATGGCGGTTCTTAAAATATCACTTAAATTTATTGAACCCCAGCTAGAAATTTTACAATAGTTCATGGTGTTCTTACTTCAAGCCAAGTATTGGCTAGAGACTCGAGTAAGAATGAATAAGGCAACTCCCAGTTTGACTTACCCACGAGGTAGTAATTATTAGGATGAGTGTATCGTGTAACATGCAAAATAATTGTGAATAACATAATTAAATTTGAAAAAGTTATGGCAGTTGATGTTAATATAGATCGGTGTCTATTTACATTTTATGACGACGTTATGATAACAACTCGTTTCTTTGAGCTTAGATTAGCATACTAAACTCATTGATATTCATCCTAGTATTTCAACAAGTATAAAAAATGTCATCGATGGACAGTTATTGTTCCCGGAATCATTATGTTTAATAGTTTGTTTCTTCATTTAAATCATCTTGTCAAAATGAATTGAAAGGACACCAAACACAAACAGGCCTGGTGACAAATTGCTTTTTTAACATATTTAGGACAACCTTTCCAATGAAATTCCCATTTCAAGTTCTGAAATTCTTTCTTATTTCCAGATCCCTGCCACAACTACTAGAATTCTACTCAACCACTTTAGATGGGACAAAGAGAAGTTAATGGAAAGGTAATCTTGTAAAATTGAATTTGAATTTATCATGAATGTGTCGCAACAATATTGCAAAATGTAAGGAGTGCCGTGGCCTGTATACGCTCTGAATAAAAATTATAAATGACAATTAGGGGTCACACGGTTAACCGTGGCTTGCGGTTACTGCGGTTCATACCTCCACGACGGTTAGCTCGCACACAATTTTGAAAACCGCGGTTCTTGAAGAACCGTGACATTTTCAGTTTCACTTCAGAAAAATAAAAATGTAAACTCGGAATTAAACTCCATTTCAAGCTTTCTTGTAATACCAATTAACTAAACATCGTCTGGAATCGTTAATCATCATGCAATAATGCGAACCATACCTGATATTTACGACGATCTTCTGATATAGACGGCAGATAACAAAAACAAAAGGAAAATGTTGATAAATTTCACCAGCATATTGACCCGGAAGTGACCTACGTTAAACATTTCGTGCAATCCTATTGGTTGATAGAACAGTATACTGTAAAAAGCCGAACGCCGAATGCATTGAATTTGCGAACGAGTCACGTTCTGTGTATTACGTTCGCCTTTGATCCATGTTGAGTCCTGACAAAGTGTTGAACTTAAGTTATATTTCTAAAGAAAACATTTATTCAGTTTAGTGAAGTACTGTGCTAATTTTGCCAACAGTTGACAAGTTATTTTATGTGTTGAAAAAACTTGAACATCAAACAAGAAGATCAACACAGTGAACACACAGATATTTTGGGAGGGAAGGAGGGAAAAAAGACTGAACAAACAAACAAACATTGTGTGAAACTGGATACTTACAATACTGAATACAATAAAACACTGTGACACACTTAGTATGTTTTCTGATTTTCGGATCAATTTCATATATTTTTGCTCATTTCACGAGGCCCGTGAGAACCGCAATCAGAACCGAACCGAACTGTGAAATACAATGACCGAACCGAACCGAACCGTGAAATCTCAAACCGTGTGACCCCTAATGACAATATAGAACAAAGATATGAAGTTCTTGAGTCATTTCTTTAAAGTGACAGCTGTCAAATATGACTGCCTGTAGAGAAAAATACTGTACTCCCACTAATACTCAAGATGCTAATTTTTAGCAATTTTGTGAAAAGCACGAAATATCGTAGCATACGTATAGTATATTTAATTTATGTGTGTTCAAATGTACATGGTTTCTTTCCACTGTTGTTCAACTTCTCACCATCCAATGAAAGGATTTCTCTATGTTTTATAAGAATAGAATGTAATTTCATATATTGAGTGTTTTTCTAGATATTACGATGGGGATCAAGACAAGCTTTTCACGGAGGCACATGTCATTAGTCCACACAGAAGCATTGTCTCTAAACCAAAGGTAACTGAAACAGGCCCAGTTAAAACATGGTTTGCCTTTTGAAATTTGAATATGTCTTACTTCATGTATAAGGGAATGGGTCAATATTTCTCTGTTTTGTATGTTTCAGGGGTTTCACAAAAATTTTTCACAACAGGCTAAATAAATGAAAACAACAGGCAAAATTAATGGAAACCATAAATTTAAACATGGAAAAGTTGAAAAGACCCTAAAAACAACAGGCGATTTTGTGAAAACAACCGGTGGAAATCTCCTGTTGCCTGCTGCAAATGAAACCCCTGCACTAAAATCATTGATATTATTAGTATCGATGTCTTGATAAATCTATATTAAAAAGCTCAAGATCTCTCTACAGTTATTTGATATTATTTGAATAATGACATAATTCTTTGTTTGTAGAAAACTACCCGTCAGACTGCTGCTGCATCATCTGCCGAAGTTACCTGTGAGATTTGCTTCCTTTCTCTTCCATCTAAAGTAAGTGGTTGGCAACATATGCATTTCTCCCATTGCTTTACAGAAATTTCCCATTATTTTGAGGAGTATGGCCCATTGTTTTACAGAAAGGTAGTCAAGGTTTAAAGCTTTGTCAAAGTTGTGTTTTGTAGCCAAAGTTGAATTTTGGAATCAAAGTTGCATTTTGTAGTCAAAGTTACGTTTTGTACCAAAAATGTGAATGAATGAAAAACATCTGTTTGTGTTTCAGGGCTTAACTGGTCTAGAATGTGGACATTTGAATGAATGACATGAATCTCTCTATGTTTCAGGGCCTAACTGGTCTATAATGTGGACATTTGAATGAATTACATGAATCTCTCTATGTTTCAGGGCTTAACTGGTCTAGAATGTGGACATTTGAATGAATGACATGAATCTCTCTATGTTTCAGGGCTTAACTGGTCTAGAATGTGGACATTTGAATGAATTACATGAATCTCTCTATGTTTTAGGGCTTAACTGGTCTAGAATGTGGACATTTGAATGAATGACATGAATCTCTCTATGTTTCAGGGCTTAACTGGTTTATAATGTGGACATTTGAATGAATGACATGAATCTCTCTATGTTTCAGGGCTTAACTGGTCTAGAATGTGAACATTTGAATGAATTACATGAATCTCTCTATGTTTCAGGGCTTAACTGGTCTAGAATGTGGACATTTGAATGAATTACATGAATCTCTCTATGTTTCAGGGCCTAATTGGTCTAGAATGTGGACATTTGAATGAATGACACGAATCTCTCTATGTTTCAGGGCTTAACTGGTCTAGAATGTGGACATTTCAATGAATGACATGAATCTCTCTATGTTTCAGGGCTTAACTGGTCTAGAATGTGGACATAAATTCTGTACATTGTGTTGGACTGAGTACCTCACAACAAAAATCATGGATGAGGGTATGGGACAGACGATTTCATGTGCAGCGCACAAGTGTGATATCCTAGTTGATGATGCTACAGTAATGTGAGTCATATTGTTATACAGTAAAACATGTAAAGTGGAACACCTCTGTAAGTGGAACACCTCTGTAAGTGGAACACCTTCATAAGTGAAACACTATAGAGTCCCACGACCCATTCATCCAATGTTAAATGAGTATTTGAAAGTAGAACACCTCCAAGTGGGACAGTCTTCAGAGGATCCAAATTTGTTCCACTTTCAATTTTTCTACCGTATTTTGCACAATTACAGCAAAGCTTTTATATGGCGACACTTCAGTCTATTAAGAACACTTTTTGTCGCTTACCTGCCTCAATAGATCCTTTCACTTTCTATCAGAACCTCTTTTTATAATTAAACAGGCAATGTGCCTATTTTTGAATGAAAAAGGACAAAACATTGTTTGAGACATGTCACTCACACAGTCAATCAAATATGATAAAAACTGGTCTATTTATGTAAATTTTATGAATATATACATATATTTCTTTATACTGCTGTGATAAAAAGAATGTTTTATTTTTTATTGTAGGAGTTTAATTAGAGATCCCCGTGTAAAGTTAAAGTATCAACACCTTATCACAAATAGTTTCGTAGAAGTAAGTTTCCATTTTTATTCTTCAACTCAGTGTTTACATTTTGTAAGTTGTTATTGTATAGTCTCTGGAGAAGCCCCTGCTCTGAAATCTTTATGTGTTTCTTTGACTTTTCCAATGAAATAGACTAATGTGATGGTGCAATATTTGCTTATTGCTTATTCTATGTTGAACCCTTGTTCTTCAATGTACAAGTGTTTCTTTAACCTTTCCAATGAAATAGACTAATGTGATGGTGCAATATTTGCTTATTGCTTAGTCTATGTTGAACCCTTGTTATTCAATGTACAAGTGTTTCTTTAACTTTTCCAGTGTAATAGACTGATGCGGTGGTGTCCTGCTCCAGATTGTGGCAATGCAGTAAAAGTTGCATACTCTGACGCAAAACCTGCGCTGTGCTCTTGTGGTCACAGATTCTGGTATGTACAAGTCAACCAGCCCCAAGTCAAGTCAACACAACCCAAGTCAAATCAACCCCAAGTCAACTCAACCCAAAGTCAAGTCATCTCCAAGTCACCTCAACCCTAAGTCAACTCAACTCCAGGTCAAATCAACCCCAAGTCAAGTCAAGTCAGCTCCAAGTCAAATCAACCCTAAGTCAACTCAACCCTAAGTCAACTCAACTCCAGGTCAACTCAACCCTAATCAACACTTCCCAAGTCAACTTTACCCCAATGCAGCTTAAGAAGTCAACTCAGCCCAGTAAAATTTTTCGATGGCTCTTGGTGGTCATGTGTTTGACTTGTAATTCTACTCACTTGGATTCCATTCTCATCTCATCACTTTCACAGTGTGAACATTTGATCCATTTTTCAATTCCATTTTCCAGATAGGTGGCCATTTAGTGTTAATCCATCAACATTGGTTGTAAATTCATGTTTTTTTAATTATATGCACCTTTGTTTTATCTCTCAAAAGTATCCATTTGAGATCTCATCTCCTTTCTACTTTTCACTTCAAATGTCATCTCCATTCTACTTTTCGCTTCAAATGTCATCTCCATTCTACTTTTCACTTCAAATGTTATCTCCAACCTACTTTTCACTTCAAATGTCATCTCCAACCTACTTTTCACTTCAAATGTCATCTCCAACCTACTTTTCACTTCAAATGTCATCTCCAACCTACTTTTCACTTCAAATGTCATCTCCATTCTACTTTTCACTTCAAATGTCATCTCCATTCTACTTTTCACTTCAAATGTCATCTCCTTTCTACTTTTCACTTCAAATGTCATCTCCTTTCTACTTTTCACTTCAAATGTCATCTCCATTCTACTTTTCACTTCAAATGTCATCTCCATTCTACTTTTCACTTCAAATGTCATCTCCATTCTACTTGTCACTTCAAATGTCATCTCCTTTCTACTTTTCACTTCAAATGTCATCTCCATTCTACTTTTCACTTCAAATGTCATCTCCATTCTACTTTTCACTTCAAATGTCATCTCCATTCTACTTTTCACTTCAAATGTCATCTCCATTCTACTTTTCACTTCAAATGTCATCTCCATTCTACTTTTCACTTCAAATGTCATCTCCATTCTACTTTTCACTTCAAATGTCATCTCCATTCTACTTTTCACTTCAAATGTCATCTCCTTTCTACTTTTCACTTCAAATGTCATCTCCATTCTACTTTTCACTTCAAATGTCATCTCCATTCTACTTGTCACTTCAAATGTCATCTCCATTCTACTTTTCACTTCAAATGTCATCTCCATTCTACTTTTCACTTCAAATGTTATCTCCAACCTACTTTTCACTTCAAATGTCATCTCCAACCTACTTTTCACTTCAAATGTCATCTCCAACCTACTTTTCACTTCAAATGTCATCTCCAACCTACTTTTCACTTCAAATGTCATCTCCATTCTACTTTTCACTTCAAATGTCATCTCCATTCTACTTTTCACTTCAAATGTCATCTCCTTTCTACTTTTCACTTCAAATGTCATCTCCTTTCTACTTTTCACTTCAAATGTCATCTCCATTCTACTTTTCACTTCAAATGTCATCTCCATTCTACTTTTCACTTCAAATGTCATCTCCATTCTACTTGTCACTTCAAATGTCATCTCCATTCTACTTTTCACTTCAAATGTCATCTCCATTCTACTTTTCACTTCAAATGTCATCTCCATTCTACTTTTCACTTCAAATGTCATCTCCATTCTACTTTTCACTTCAAATGTCATCTCCATTCTACTTTTCACTTCAAATGTCATCTCCTTTCTACTTTTCACTTCAAATGTCATCTCCTTTCTACTTTTCACTTCAAATGTCATCGCCATTCTACTTTTCACTTCAAATGTCATCTCCATTCTACTTTTCACTTCAAATGTCATCTCCTTTCTACTTTTCACTTCAAATGTCATCTCAATTCTACTTTTCACTTCAAATGTATCTCATTTCTATTTTCTCTTCCAGTTTTGCCTGTGGCGAGAACTGGCATGAACCTGTCCGATGCGTCTGGTTGAAAAAATGGATTAGAAAATGTGATGATGATAGTGAGACATCCAATTGGATTGCTGCCAACACTAAAGTAAGTTACAAATCTCCGAAGCTTTGAACCCACTAATCACTGCCTACTTGAAATATCATCTGCACCAACTTGAAAATGAAAAAAATCTTTAAGATTGTCATGTTTTGACCATATTTTTGGGAAATTTGAAAACTAAATACCGTATATATTTTTTAATTTTTTCAATCCATGATTTTTTTTGTTTCCGTTGAATAGGGTCTGGGAAAGAAAATGTGCATCAATCAATATAAAATTAAAATTATTAATGAAAAATCCGGGAATGTCTGAGACACCTGTCACGGTGGATCAGTCTGAGCCTGACAACCAATAATATTCAAAGCTTGACTACCATACTAAAACTTATTTTTTAGGAATGTCCAAAATGTCGCATCACGATAGAGAAAGATGGAGGCTGCAATCACATGATCTGTAAGAACCAAAACTGCAAGGCCGATTTTTGTTGGGTGTGTCTTGGCCCCTGGGAACCTCATGGATCGTCATGGTAACACATTTAAATAATATACAGGGTATCCATAAAGTCTCTTCAATTCAAATACACATTTTTGAAAGTGTAAAGAGACTTTATTGACACCCTGTACATTTTATTAACAAAACAATTTTGAGTTTCTCATAAAATAGTCACCTCATACAATACTCAATACTCTTGCTCCCTTTGTTAGAATGATTTTTTATTTTGAATTGATATTTATAAGCTAAAATGTTAGATTTTTAGATCACAATATTACCGATTCAACTTAAATGGACTGTTTGTCTGTCAAACTTTAAATCACTGCCATCTCTATTTTATTCACTAATAGAACATTGACTCTACAGTAAAACCTGCTTGAACTGAATGCCACTGGGAGAGTTATATGGCAAATTAATAAAATGAAACAAAAAATCATTGGCATTGTGATTAGAGAGTTGTTCTGATTTGCAGGTTTTACTGTATACATGTTTATCCTATGCCAAGTAGATTTTTAGGGAGATAAGTTGGTAAGATATATCCCGTATCCTGATTTTGAGGTTTCCATATCCAGAACCTCCATATCTCCCGCTTCGTTACATATCTTCCCGCTTCGGTGCATATCTTCCCGCTTCCGGTAAGTAGTGGAAATGCAATAAAATGACTTTGCATATAGAATGATTTGTTCATTTTTACACCTTTTACTATTGAAATGGCAATATGCCCATGAAGACTCTACTTGGTATAGGATAAAGCAGTTATGTACGGTCGGTTTGGATATTGGGTTCATCCCTCATGAGATATGCACATCTACCTTCGGTCCCTACGGTCCCTCTGGTAGATATGCATATCTCCCTCTGGATAAACCCCATATCCAAAACCTCCCAGTACATAACCCTTAATTATTACTCTTTATACCTTGCTGTTTATTCTGTATTGCTTGCTTACTATTTATTCCTTGCTGTATCTGTATCACATTTTGTCTCTTCAGGTATAACTGCAACAGGTTTGATGAAGATGATGCCAAAAAAGCTAGAGATAACCAAGAGGTAAGTTGTTTCTTCCTTTGCCTCTGAATCTGTTTTATTGGCCATTTATTCCCGAAGTATTTTGTAGGGGGAGAATGTTATACAGGGTGGTCCAAAAATGGGACACTCGTATTTCAAAAATAATTAAATTAAAATCAATATTTTTGGACCACCTTGTATATCATGAGATATCCCAGTCCAAGAACTACTTGATATTGCACATTGATAAATTATCAATAATCCCCATTTGATGTACATCTTGAAAGTCAGTAATATTTCTCTTCACTTTAAGCTTCCGAAACCAACGAATATAATTAATTAATTTGAGCTTCATATTTTATATGAAAAAAATCAGAAGCGCAACACACTTGGGAGCGCTATCAATCTTATTAAAATGTTTTAACTTTCAAGCTCCATACAGTACTCCATCATTATTCATTCTATTGTTATCTTTCCTTGTTTGTGTTTCAGCTTTCAAGGTCCATGCTCCAACGTTATTTATTCTATTGTAATCGTTACATGAATCACATGCAAAGTCTCAAGTTTGAGCACAAGGTATGTAGAATTTGTCTAAAAAATCCTGTTTAAATACATTTTTGAGTTCAGTCCTATAGCTCACTGGAGCAGTGGGGCAGGTTCTTTGAAATCATGGGTTCGATCGTCACTTGGGTGGAATGAGTTTTTCTTAATAGTCTGTCTAAATTGAGGGATATATAATGCAGTATCAGTAAATTGACGAAAAGATCATTTTCTTGAAAAAAAATCATTTGAATTTTTATTTCATTATTCTTTAACTTTTCAAATTCTTTTTTGATTAAATCGGTTTAATCATTATTTTTCCATTGTAAGCATATATTAATGCCATTTTTTGATTAAATCATTATTTTCCAGCTGTACGCGTCTATTAAAGTTAAGATGGAAGAAATGCAGCAGCATAACATGTCATGGATTGAGGTTCAGTTTTTACACAAAGCAGTAGACGTTTTATGCCAGTGCCGCCAAACGCTCATGTTCACCTACGTATTTGCGTTCTATTTAAAAAAGAACAATCAATCAATTATCTTTGAGGTAACGAAAACTTATTTTAAAAAATATTGCAGTAACTTGCAGAATTCAATGATTCAAACTCTAGATCCAGAAAACTGTCTCAATTAAAACATAAGATAAGAAATTAACACATTTGGAGAAGTTGTTTAGATTTGGGCATAATGAATGATGGGGAGAAAAAGATAATAAAATTAGTTAGTTATTTAGAAATACATAGCAGGCTTAATTGCTTTATTTTGAAGCATTTTGCCAAAATATCTTTGAAACCATGGATTTTTGAGGTGATACAGTTAAGCATACATATATATTCTACCATCCTCCTAAGCAGGTGTCCAGAATCCGTACCTCCTTCTTCCCCCTGCTATAACCAATTTGGAAGCGCCTGATTTAACTGAATCACGTGATCTAATTATGCGCAATGGCTTATACATGATTTCTGTCGCAGTGTTGCCACAGCCAATCAGATTGCGAGTTCTTTATCGGGGAAATGGTAACTGCTTATCGCAAGGGGTAAAAAGAAAGAATATATTCTGGATTTTGAAGCCCTGTGATCGGAGGATGATATTCTAATTAACTGAAATTATTTCATTTTTTTTATTGTATTGAATATATTGCAAATCATTATTTCCAAATTCCTAAACCTTGCTTTATCTCTTATCTTCATGTTTCTTTACAGGACAACCAGAAAGATCTAGAAAATTCTACTGAGACACTTAGCGAATTTTTAGAACGAGATATAACTAGCGAACTACTTGTAGACATCAAACAGAAAGTTCAAGATAAATACAGGTCAGTGATTGGTCAACTTTTGATATTAAAGTGGGAATATCGATTGCCGAGTCGTATCCAATGATCCTGGGCCTATCGTAAAATGAAAGCTTTGAATATGTTGTTGCCTTTAAAAATGTATCTATTTTCCATGTAAGCAACTAGAATTTGTGCACATACCTTATAACGATCGATAATGGCAAAGGAAAATCCTCTAATTCTTCGTCATAATTTCTCCTTCGACGTCAGCCATTTTTTATTAAACCGGAAGTTTGTTCTCTGACGTCGGCGCAATGTTTTTTCACTTTTATTTCAGATTACGCTTCGGATTCAACATTTAATGCTTTCTAATATTAATTAAGTGTTTTCTATCAGAAAGATTTCATAAAAAGACTCATACTATCAGAGATTTTATCGATTCGAGCAGCCAGAAAAATTAGTTTCAATTTCATCCGCTAGGTGTTTCGACGTCGACTTGGAAAGAATTTGAAAATCTATGAGTGGGACTCCTTGTATGGAATTGTAGATTCTAAACGATTTGCCAGTTCTACTGGTTGATGAATATTGCCATATGCATACATTTTCATAAAATAGGAATAAGGAAGAAGATGTTGGACCAAACTTCACCCCGATAGCTCAGAAAAGGTAAAATTTCTCCATTTTTCTCTCCACAGACCTTAGAGCCGCTTTAAGGTTACTGATAAGTGGCGCAAGTTGCTGAGAAACCTAAAGTCACCACGACCATATTTGTGAAAAACTGAGCCACCAATTCCAGGAAATATGTGTCTGTTGATGTCATATTGTTGCTATGAGACAAATAAACATCTCCATATTTGGCATTGACACTTATGTAATATTTTATATTTTTCTCCAGAAACTCCTGATTTAATTGCAATTTTGCTCACTATAATGGTTCAAAATAGACAAAAAAGTAGCCAATTAAAAGCTGCCAATTAATTGCAATTTTGTTCACAATAATGGTTCAAAATAGACAAAAAAGCTGCCAATTAAAAGCTGCTAATAAATTGCAATTTTGTTCACTATAATGGTTCAAAATAGACAAAAAATGCTGCCAAAAAAAGTCACCTCAATTTTGTATCCAAAATAAAGAATTGGAAAATGTGCGACGATTTAATTTGGCGAACTTAAACTCACCTAAACTCACTTAAACTCACCTCTCCAAAGTCACAAATTGACATGATCTGATGACGATAAACTTTGAAAATTGTTCAAAATAAAACCATGGAGCTGAAGTACCGTGAGTGCTCTGAAAATATGGATGGGGATTTTTTGTGAAAAAATTGGCCAAGACATGAATGGGCGAATTTTGCAAATCACCAAATTCACCAGGGTAACAGTATATCTCGTACAGTAGTTTCGTCACTAAAATAATTACATTTTCCTTTTTTCTTGTAGATATTGTGAAAGTCGGAGGAAGGTGCTACTTGATCACGTATATGAGGGTTACGATAAAGACTGGTGGGAGTATATAGACATATGAGCTCACAATGCAGTAATAACAAACAACAGGGGACAATTATACAAAACAACCAATCAACCCAGGCAATCAATGTCAAAGACAACTTGGAAAATTTTCAATTTTTTTTTCTAATGAATTTAAATGGAGGAACTTTTAAATGCATTATTTAGAGTATTTATAAGATGAATTCATCAGACGATATGGATAAAATTCCACTGTGCAGAAATGTAACAAAATAAATGTTCCGATTGACCTGATTTTGATACTATTTAAAAATCTCCAGGATATTAGACACATCCTTCACCATTCACAATTATACGGCATTTTATATAAAACTTGATAAACCCAAGTTTGACAGTGGATATGTTCTTTATGTCATTTATGTACTATTTTTCTTCGAAATCCTCTACCACTCTTTTCTGCATTTAAAAACATGAAATGTTATTTAATGTGTAGCAGTTTGTGTGAGAATCCTCTGCTGTTAATTAAATATACAGGATGTCCCAAAAAAGGTAACCCAAACAAATGTTAATAGTTATTGTTAGTTTTGTAAAATGGCTGCAAAATTGACCATTTGGAATAAACCAATGAAACTTGGTAGAATAAAAGAACATTGAAACAATTGTGACTTTCAACCCATTTTTGGTGACTTTATTAACAAGTGTTTTGGTTGCATTTTTTGGCTCACCCTGTACCAGACCTTGTAAATAAAGGTCAGGAAGTGAGTGCTTTTTATCATTGGTATAAATAAATGAAGACTGTTTGCTGGATTTTGATGAATGTTATGAAATGTGTGAAAGACTTGGTGTGAATTGCCTACCTTAATAACCCTGTTTTTTCTCAAAATATATGAATTCTTAATAAATATAATTTGACTAATTATGGTCAAACGATTGAAATTGTAAATTGAAGAACTCTAGTTATACAAACCATCGTCAAATTATTCTTAATAAATATAATTTGACTAATTATGGTCAAACAATTGAAATTGTAAATTGAAGAACTCTAGTTATACAAACCATCGTCAAATTATTCTTAATAAATATAATTTGACTAATTATGGTCAAACAATTGAAATTGTAAATTGAAGAACTAAAGTTATACAAACCATCGTCAAATTATTCTCAATAAATATAATTTGACTTATTATGGTCAAACAATTGAAATTGTAAATTGAAGAACTAAAGTTATACAAACCATCGCCAAATTATTCTTAATAAATATAATTTGACTTATTATGGTCAAACGATTGAAATTGTAAATTGAAGAATTAAAGTTATACAAACCATCGCCAAATTATTCTTAATAAATATAATTTGACTAATTATGGTCAAACAATTGAAATTGTAAATTGAAGAACTAAAGTTATACAAACCATCGCCAAATTATTCTTAATAAATATAATTTGACTTATTATGGTCAAACGATTGAAATTGTAAATTGAAGAACTATAGTTATAGAAACCATCACCAAATCATTCTTAATAAATATAATTTGACTAATTATGGTCAAACGATTGAAATTGTAAATTGAAGAACTAAAGTTATACAAACCATCGCCAAATTATATCATGTCGAACTAACCATGATAGTAATGTATTTATTGCACATACTGTGATTTCATAGTAAATTGTGAGTTCTGCTCTCAAAATCTAAGAGTATTTCAACCCTCTCGCTTCTAATGTACAACAGCTCACATTTTTAGTCTGACCATTTTTCGTGGTAACTATCCATGCCCTGTATATCGCTAGCAAGTTCCCGCTTACATCACCAGCAATGAGCTCATGTTAGAAGCGAGGCCTTATGAGATATGAGAAATAGCCATTGTACTATGAAATAAAGTTGTACTGAGTTTCATTTACAAAAGTTCCATAGAAACATTTTATTTCAATTTTATCATATCTCTCAAGGCCTCAATTCTAAAATGAGCTCATTGCTCGCACGATTGTCAATGGGGCATGGATAGACACCGTGATTTTTGAACAGTCACAAACAGTAAAAACCTATCTTAGTGAACATCTCTCTCTCCAGTGCATAATGAACTCCACTTCGAGATGTATTTTACATTGAATCCTGTATAAACTTCCCTCTAAGTGAACACCTACCTATAGTGAACACTTTTTGTGAATCCATAGGTGTTCTCTATACACATGTTTTGAAATAGTTCATAAAAATATTTGGACTGATATTAAGCATGAGATTCGATATTGAATTATATGTAATCTGTTAAACAACTCAGTTAGACATGGGTTTAAATTGTCTTCAAAATTACCTTACTCTATATTGATAGATAATTAGATTGTTCCTCTATTTTTATTATTTTAGTACTGATAAACCTATTTTTCCTCATAGTTTTGTATTGATACATCAGACAACAATTTTTTATCATAGGCTTGTATTTGTTATTCAAACTTTATGTATGATACTCTCTATAGGATAAAATTAGTATCCTGCATGGACTGAATATATTTAAATGACATCCAAACTTAGAGGCTGTTTTTGAAAATGTCATGAATAATGATTCAGGTTTCTACTGTTCTCTGCAATCTTTCATATTTTTTTTAAAGTATAGTAAAAGAAATCATAAAAGATATTTGGATTTCATAAATCTCTGTCTATACTATTTTGGAAAGCCCGAGACAATTATTTATTTCAAAATGTTGAATGGCTTTACCTGTTTGGCATATGGTTGTTTGACATAATGTTGTTTGTTATACCAAACAAGGTCGTTGCTGGAATAGTTTGTTAGCGGAGTCTAATAATTGTAAACACGCTGTAAATGTTATAAGTTAAAAACTGATAAATATCATAAAACATAAAATACGTAAATGTGTTTTGTTAATAAGAATAATTTTATTTTATTTAATAATACTATATTGTTTGATTGCACATCTTACAAAAGGTACAGACAGGTACATGAAGCAAAAATTTATATAAAAATTCAATACAGACAGAGATAATGGCATAGAAGGGATAGAGATGAATTCAGTGCAAGTTCAAACAAAGCATTAATAAGCAAAATATCACCACATGCCATTTGTTACAGACCACCACACGTCAGACACCAATCATGGTCGAAAAAATGGAGACGAAGGATATGTCAAATAACATAAAAACTTACTCCGATTTTTTGAATAAGTCCCAACAGTCTTGACTTAAAGGTTAAACCATTAATTTTTTATGACATATGTCAAAAAATAGAAAGAGTGACATCCCTTTCAATTTAAAAAATGAATTTGAACATTTCTGCATCTTAAATAACTCCCATATTTGATCATATATTTTTTGGAAAATAAAATTAGGATTGTTAAAGGGAAACATTGGAATGATTTTAGAAAGTTTGCTGTAAATATTTTGAACTCGCTAACCCTTCTTATTCCTCGTACAGCATAAAATTGCAAGAAAATAAACATTAAAGATGCATTATGCCATAGGTTTCTACCCAAGACAATCAATGATGTCCTATTGTTATTGCTCATATAATAGCTCACATACCATGGATATATCTTAAGAATAACTTTTGGGTATATTATTGCCGAAATATCTGAAATAATCAACATAACAACCAAACTCTAGAATTTAACAATCAATTCCTCGGCTATCGAGGGGAATCCCCATTGAGTCGCACGAGCGCCTTGAACCAGGGAGCCAATCAGGTTTATGATAAACAAATTCAATGACCAATCAGATAACAGGAGGACTTTCCCGGAATATTCAAACTTCAGATTGAATTAATTTCTTCGAAAATAATTAGATTGGCCAGCACAATCGCACAATTAACACTGAAAGAGGGGGATTTGGGACTTCTTTGGTAAGTAGATGAGTATATATTGGGCGAAACTCAATATGCAAAAAAGTCCAGAGGGGTCTTGATTGTGCTATCCTATGGCATAGAGCCTCTTTAACATTACACAATAAACAAAGTGAACATGCAAAATATCACCACCTCCCATTTTTTACAGATGCCAAAAGCTGAACTCCCCCATCACAAAAAGTTGTAGACTATAACAAAATGTCACCCATTCTGGTGGCGATATAAAAAAAAGTCAGAATACAGACCATCCTCTCAATGCAGGGTTTCACAGACAAAACATTACATTCCTTCATTCTTCCAAGATAAAATTTGTGGATGAGTTCTGGACATCTGCATTTGGAGGATGGAATAGACATAATGAAAAATTATGGAACAATAATTACTTTTTATTTATAAAACTTTGATTGTGATGTATATCTTACAGGTACATGTAGAATACAGACATAATTGAGCCCGGCCATAGGAAAACCGGTCTTATCACAAAAATGAAAATTGTGCTACAGAGCCAAAAATGTGCCCAAGATTAAGAGGAAAATGTGCTAAATTCAAATTTTGGTCTATATATGCAAGGAAAAATTGTTAAGACATAAGTCATGACTCATTTGAAAGGTCTTTTTGTGCTTTTTAAGATAAACAAAAAATAAAAATATTGAAAAATCTGTGATAAGACCCCTTTTCATGTGGCCTGGCTCAATTATTAACATTTAGGTATATGAAATATAAAGTATAACAATGTCATGGCACGGAATTACTTGTTTGATTGTAATGTACATATTACAGGTACATGTGGAATACAGACATAGTTATTAACATTTAGGTATATGAAATATAAAGTATAACAATGTCCTGGCACAAAATTACTTTTTATTTTATAAAACTGTATTGCTTGATTGTAGTGTACATCTTTCACTACAGGTATACATCCTCCGAACACAGGCCTCCAGAACTTGAAGGAAGGAACTTTGTGGATGATGTCTGGAACCCTGCGTTCGGAGGATGCAGGTATAGAATACAGACAATTAAAAATTAGCTATATGAAATATAAAAATATAAAATACAACAATGTCATGGCACAAAAATGACTAATTATTAATAGTAACTATACTGCATTGTATTCGTATTGCTGCAAAGTAAGTCCTTAGGCCTACTTATGAAAAAATTATGATTAAAAAATATCTGAAAAGTCTCATCTTGGGATCCATTACCAAAATGGAAAAATACTTAGAATCATAACAAAATTAAGTATTTGTAGAATTCAGGGCAAACTGATTCAACTGTGCCTGAGTAGTAGACTACCGAAGTATGACACTACACATCGCCCCTCCCCGAGGTTTGAGGGTGGTACTCTCAGCCAATCCAAAATTTTGCGAAGAGTCCAGTTGGAATGTGAAGTTTTGTAAGAGTTTCACTAGCACAACCTTAGCTTCAATCTGAAAAACAAGAATCCTCAGATAACTGAATGAATGAATGATTGAAAATAAAAATGTTTGTGATGATGAAGATGATTAAAACTGATGATGATTCAAAATAAATTGATGATTATCAAAAATGAAGATAATTGAAATGTTAATGATTCAAAAAATGATGATGAGGATGTTTTGAGAATGTGATGATCATCACAAATGATTAAACTTGCACATCGCTCCAAAACGAAATATGTTGACATATATTGTTTTTACATTTTCAAGCTCTAATATAATGTGTAATGTACATGAAAATTGTTTTTTCTGCGTAATATCAAAGAACAATCATTTAGTTAAAAAAAAAATAAAAAAGCTAGTGCGGGACCAATCGAAGCTATTCAATGAACAATGTTTGAAATGACACATTTATCGTAAGTATTTATACACAACATTTGCCCCATTTGTTCATCATTCTATAATCTTTCATTAAGCTCAAAATGATAAAGTTCACCCCCGAAACAACCCAAGATTGCGTTTTGGAGCGATGTGCAGGTTTAATAAAAAATTAGCGATAAACTGAGAACTGAAAATTATGATGAAAGAGAATTATAAGAGTAAATAAATGATACTCCAGTTCTAATACCTGAGCAAATGTTTGTCCTATACATGTTCTGGGGCCAATTGAGAAGGGAAAGTAACCATAGATCTTTGGTCTGCAAAAGAAAGTAATTATCTGCACATTTTTTATTAACATTTTGAGCATTTTCATACTAGAACCTTTGACATGTAGTACTGGAATATCTCAATGTCCTAGATGTATTAACTGATTTAGTTTGATAATTTTAGTTGAATAATCCCCAATAATCAAACATGAAAATAAATAATGTTTAGGCTAATATTCAAGCAGTTAATTCAATTTTCAACTTTCAGTCTTCCAAAATATCAGTTTTGATTTTTAAAATATTGATGGTTGAGTTTCAGTTTTCACATTTTCCAGTTTCTGAATCAGAATTCAGGATATGTATTTTGTCTTAAAGGTAATTGCTCTGACATCTTGCTACATGTAGCTCGATTAATTTTATTACATTTAATTTTACTTACTCCATATACTGTACGACTGTTTTATAATGAATTAACACCAGTTTGAAAAAGGTCCGTCCAGAAAGCCAAGAGAAAGACTTCCTGAATAGAAACCATGTAGCCCATGTTTCATTCAAAACTTTTCACAAGTGATCAAGAAGAGTCTCTTAATTGATTAGAATGATTATTGACGAATATGTTCTGTGGATGTTAGAGCAACTACCTTTAAATGAAAAAATATAACTCAATAGTTTTTTGAGTGATATCTCAAGAAAATGTCACAACCTGATTGCAATAAAGCATAACCATGACAATATACAGCATAACCATGACAATATATAGCATAACCATGACAATACATAGCATAACCATGACAATATACAGCATAACCACGACAATATACAGCATAACCATGACAATATACAGCATAACCATGACAATATACAGCATAACCATGACAATATACAGCATAACCATGACAATATACAGCATAACCATGACAATATACAGCATAACCATGACAATACATAGCATAACAATATACAGACAAATGGTCCACCAACTGGCTATAACTAACAAAATTTCACTTATGTTGATGGAGGTAACATTGAAAGTACAAGACATTAACATGCAAAATTTCACCACATACAATTAGTTACAAATGCTGAACAACAACCACTGACTGCCAAACACCAACCACCGAACACCAAAAACAGTTGGACACTATAACAGTTCGACACCATTTGTGGTGGGACATAAAAACGGACCAACCTAAATTGAGCAGTTGGCCTAAATCTTTCTGGATTGAAGTCCAGTGGATCAGGAAAGTTTTCTTCAAGTCTTGCAGAGGCAAAAGGACTCACCTGAAATAAGAAATTCATTGAAAAACATGTCATGGGATTGAGTTTGAAATGCAAAATAGAATGGAAATAAGTGGAATTAGCAAGGAATAAAGTAAACAGGTGTGCAGTTATAGGTTGTACTTTTATAAAATTAGCAAAAAGTTAATACCATTTTTGAATGGGCAGTTTGCTACCTACAACCAATGACATCAACAATCTAGCCAATATATTGTGGTTTCTCTGATGGATCAAAAGGTGGCACGATTTATCGGAAACGTCTATTGGCAAGGAATAAGGTAAACAGACATGTAGTCAACACTCTAAATTGTATAGAAATGCAATAAAATCAGACATTTCATTCAAACTTTAGAAAAAAAGTGGAAAATAGTAAACGCGACAAGAATCTATGAATAAGGTAATCAGCCATGAAGAGAACATTCTTGAAATATGAGAAACTTATTCACTTCATTCCAGTTTAAGAAAGAAATTATGAGGTGAGTTGTAATATCTGGCTAAGTCCCATGATTGCAATAAATGTTTGAGCAACGGAAACACAACTTACTGCACAAATTGTGCCTTTTGGTATGTCATATCCGCATATCTTTATTTCATCTCTGAAAACAGTAATCGTAATGCGTTATTAGTTTCAAAAACAATTAAAACATGATTCGTATTCTGCCTCGAGTAATTCAACTATTATGTAAATATGGACATTTCTGGTATTTCCTGCATCTTATATTATATTCAATAAATTTTGATTTTTAAAATTTGATCAGATATTTCAATTGTTCTTTTAAAAAATTTTGAAAAGATAGCTTCAAACATAGATTATGTTGATTGGTTTAAAATTCTCTGACAGATTACCTTTTTTTCCTTAAGTCTAAGGGAATATGCCCAGTCGTCAAAATGCTTTTTTAACGAGAAACTCTTGACTGGAAAATATGACTTCTTATTTCTAAGTCTCATTTTAGATATTGACCAATCAAAGAGTGAGGAATATGGAAGTTATATAATAATACCTGGTATCCCTGAATGTTACAGCTGCAGGTGGATAAAGACGTAGTGTTTCTTTCAAACACATATTGAGGTATTCAAGTTGGTTTAATTCTGTATATGTGATGCTCTCCTTTTTACCAACCATGTCATCAATTTCTGCGTATAACCTGAAATAATTTAGAACTGTTTTAAAACAACCTGGGGCAATAGGATAAAAAAGGAATATGACTGTTATAATAATCGCAGGCTGTCAGTTTCACATATAAAATGACTTAGAGCCTGGCACTATATTTAATGCCCAAGCATAAGTGGCGTATTATGTGCATCCTCTAGTCTATATCTATCGAAAGTCTTTTACTATCCATATTTAGGCATATCAATATATTCCATTTTCAGGGAGGGTGTTACTTTCAGGAGTAACCCAAAATGTAACACCTTTTTCAAGAGGGGGTTACTTTCAGGAGTAACCCAAAATATGACACTTTCTGTGTTTTCAGGAGGGGGGTGTTAAAAATTTATTAAGAACTTACTTATCTGCAATATCAGGATGACGTCCTAACTCAATCAAAAAGAAACTCATCAGATTTGCTGTTGTGTCATGGCCTGAAAATAAACATGACACATTTCCTTAAATTCACCTTGATATAACTACATAAAATTGACTGTGTTTAACAACAAAACAAATTGTAAAATTTTTTAAAATACTCTTAAAGCATTTACATGTGGCAAAACTGTGTTAAAAACATATCCAATGATGGCTTATTTCGAAAAAATCCCAAAAAAGGATATTAGTAAAGTGTGACTATTGTTGAAACAAATATTTTTAAAAACCCATACATTAGAACACCTCACTTGTCGGAACACCTCTTGATGAGAACACTTTTCCCCGTCTCAATAATTTTACATTCTCACATTGACTACCATGGTAAGAAACTTGAAATGAAACACTTTTGGCCCAATGGTATTCAGCTTGGTTATTTCTGTATTTTGTTTTCAATCATTCACAAGGCCTTAATATGCAATATTACCACCTCCCATTTGTTATAGATGCTGATCACCAACCACCAACTACCAACTGCAAAAAACTATCCACAAAAGTTTGAGATTATAACAATATGTCACCACTTGTGGATGTAGTAATGACATAAAAATAACACAAACTCACCTGCTAGAAAGAATGTAACATAGTCGTCTATGAGTTTCTCCTTGTGAAGCGCAGGCATCATATCTGTAAGTACAAATGCTAAAATGGTTATGCTTTAAAAGGAGAAATACTGCAGGAAGAGAGCGAACTAGCGAGGAATGAAGTAAACAGTTACGATCTTAGAGGTAGAATAATTGGTTAAACTAGCGCTATATTTAAAAACAAGAATGACTGCAAAATTATGGTTCCTATGGATTATTGTCTTTACTTGGCCAATTTTTGTGAAGGTATGAGGAAAAAGTTGTGATTGGTTCGCTGAACCAACTGAGGGGTTGACAATTACAATTACTACACACAGAATTTTAATCAAAACCAAAAATGGACTCTATTCACACATGGACACATTAATATGGACACATTAATAGCCACTCTTTTTTGTAGTTCAATAAACTACAGGATGTCCATAAAATCTTTGCAATAACAATAAAGAGTCAGTGTAAAATGTAAAGAGACACTATGAACACCCTGTAGTTATATATATATATAAGCACCTGCCATTTTTGCCATATGTGTTAGGATATCATTAGGAACTGGCTCATCATTACGCAACATCTCTGTACGGTGGTCAAGTGAATCTTTGGCTGATTGGCGTAACAACTTTATAGCACTACCTATTTCGAGACCAGCTGCCCAGAATTTAGGGTTATACTGAAAAAAGTGTGAAAAATATATGTGAATTTTGAATCTGCTTCGAATGCAATGAGGGCCATTTGATTAAAACAAATACTCTAAATATTATGTTCATCAAGTATTATATCGCTTATGAGTGACTCACAGTCTAAAACAATTTCTTTTTAGTTTTTTGTCATGTGGATGAGGGCTCTTATTATCAGGATTTCGATTTCCAGGACTTTAATTCCTCACTCAATCATATTATCTATGTCACACATCATGTACATGTATAGGTACACATATTTCGAAGCGAATGCGTGACATATACAGAATGGAAGTGAAAAGTCAGAACAAAATGCGTTCGTTTTTCGATGTTCTTTTTTACCATATCTGCATTTTATAAAAAGCAATTTTTTTTAATATCAACATAATGTGTGATTTGCTTGACATTTTATCATACATACAAATTTGATGTGTGATTTCATTTTTTCCAGCAAAGGCGTGACAGTCACGCCTAATGCGTGACAATCACGCCTAATGCTTGAGGGTTGACAGGGCAGCATGTATAATACTGACTTTTAATTCCAATACTTAATTATGTATGCAACTGTAATCATATTATTCTAATATCTTACCTCTGAAAAGAGATTTTTAACTTTTGTATCAAACCCTGTGAGAACTGTGAACATGGCTTTTGGGAAAGGCTGTTTCAGATCTCTAAGACTGTTGATGTCAAGGTCAAATGCAACCTGAAAATAGAAGGTCAAGGTCAAATGCCGAATGAAAGTAGGTCATGGTCAAATGCAGAATGAAAGTAGGTCAAGGTCAATTGAAACCTGGAAATTGAAGGTCAGGGTCAAATGCATAATAAAAGTAGATGGTCAAGGTCAAATGCAGAACAAGTCAAGATCAAATTAACTTAAAAACAGAATATCAAGGTCAACTGCAATAATGAACTTCGTGTAAGGTATAATTTGCATTTGTGTCCTGTGTAAGGATCAAAAGATTATGAATGACACTCAAAGCAACTTATGAATACATTTCAAAAAATATGTCCCACATTTGCACATTATTGCATATGGTTAAAAGGTCAAGGGAATCTTCTGAAAATTGGTTAAATGGATAGCAATACATGTACTTGTAGTAGATAAAGAAATGAGATGCGATTCATAAAAGCCTTTTGAAATGGACTTATTTTAAATACCTTGCCTATGATATCGAGTGTTGCCTTGGAGAGTTCCGAAGCCATGGAGATGACATTCCCTGTATCGGCAACACTCTTTAGTTTTTCAACAAGAACATCTGATGTTGTGTTGAACACTGGCATTAAATGCATCAAATACCTGCCATGAAAATAAAGGTGTTATTCAAAATGCCTAAAATGAATCATAGTCCAATATTAAAGTCATTATCATCAAGTGAAGTTCTTAAATTTTCTTAAGTCTTAAATTTTCAAGAAAAGTTAACATAGCCGGGTATGTTCATTTATTGGGCAGAAAAACAAACTGACTTTAACTGAGTATTTTCTGTTTTGTTATGAAGTTAATGAGTCTTTTATGCATTACCATTACTTTTCCCAAACCTTTAGAGAAATTGCTTCAAAGTGAATAAACTTAACTTAAAACGAGGAATAAAAAGACACGTATTTGACACTCTAAATTCTACAGAAACATAAGAAAGGAGTGGTATCGATATGGATAACTTTTTGAACACACGTTTCTCTTAAACCAGTCATAAATAAAATCTAAAAATTTAACACATTGTCAATCTAATGGTCATCTTTTGAATGGTAACAATATAATTTGAAAAATATATATATATATACTTTCATCTATATTGTTTTAGAAAACACATCAAACACTTGTTTTGTTCTTGGTATCATGTTTCCTGAGTAAAATGAAACATCTTTCCGAACCTCATTGGAAAAAAACGACATAAACACAACATGTTTAGGTCTCTCAATATTGTAATTGTACAAAGGACATTTTGGTTGATTTTAAAAAAGTATCTGGTTAATGAAATAAACAAAGCAAACAACAATTGCACTAAAAAAAAAAAAAAACGTTCACAAAACAGTTATATAAAATATTTTAAAATAATTTTCGCATTAAATTGTTGTCAATCAGTCAACATCATAAAATACCGTGTTTTTTTACAGAATGTTTTCAATGATTGGTTTAAGAGAAAAACATTGTTGAATTCAGTTTTCCATATCGATACCACTCTTTTTTAAGAAAAAAATGGCATAAAGTATTTACTTACCCCCTGTGAAAAGCAGCATTGTAGAGTGACCTTCTTTCCGACCACACAGCATGGTCAGTTTCTGTAAGTAACCCCTTACCAACAAATCTTTAAGCAAAGATTTTAAAAGCATTAGTTGTATATTACTTGAATTTATGGGATTTATTCTGTTTATCTAAAGGTTAACTATTTAAAATATATTTATTTCATGAAAGGATATCACTATAATTATCCAATGTGACAGGTGATATAGTTTGCACTATCTTTTATCTATTACTGACAAATGGTGGATAAGTATAAAGTTACCTGTTTCCGAAAAGATTTGATAACCGACCATACACAAATTCAGATTTCGGGTGATTCCCATTGACAAGCAGTTCCTGGAAATAAACATTTTAAAGCTGTAGAGGTGATAATTTGTTTTTCACTGTGAATGCAAGGGGAAGTAAATAGAGATTATCTAGTGGGAGGGATGGAATATGAATTTTATTCCGAGGGAAAATATGATATTGGCAAAGGAAAATATCATATTGACAGAGGGTAACAGCCAGAGTGTCAACATGATATTCTTCCATTCATAATACTATTATTCTAATAACCTTATTCACCAGTTAAAGACATTCAATGAAAGCCCAAATGTTACCATGGAATGGGTCATCCATAATATATCCCCAGGGATGTCTGATTCCATGGTAACATGTGGCCTTGCATTGAATGTCTTTTAACTGGTGAATACGTTTATTACAAATGGCACTGACCTGTTCAGTTCACATACAAATAAATTACCCATAGAAGACAAGTGAAATCAGTTCTGTTATTCAGAGTTTAAAAATTGATGACTACTTTTCTATTTTTTAATTTGTAATGTAAACAAAGGAGGTTCACTAAGGTTTTTTAACTCTTCTTTCCACAGGTTTACTTGCTGTGAAACATTATCTTCTCCATTTCAGTTATATTTAATAGTTACTGTAAACAAATCCAGTGCAACAGAATAGATCACTTGTAAAGGGGTGTATATGTGAATGTTAATAATATAATTGGATCAACGAACAGACCCATAGCCAGGATTTGCCAAGGGGGGTTCACTTTTTAGAAAATTCCAGAAAATTCACTTTACCCAACTTTGGGCCAAATATGACCAAAATCGCGCTCAGAATGGTGAAAAACTGCATGACTTTGAAAGAATTTTTGGCAAGGGGAGGGGTCACGTGAACCCCCCCCCCTGGCTGCGGGCCTGACTAATGTAGTATATATTTGCATACCTTAACTGCTTCTTGGTCAACAGTAAACACCATGGTTTTGTGCATGACATGACATACTAAGACGGGTCCATACTCTTCCACCCATTTCAGTATAAATTCAGGATATGTGCCACCATTTTTGTAATGTCTCATCATAAATGGAATGTGACCAAGTATGAAGCTGAAATGTTGATGAATAATGTCTAAATCATTATCTGAAATATACAATGTTTGGTCTACAAGGTTTTTCTCTAACTGATGCAGATCTATTAAAAAGGGCGCATCGTCAACAACATGCAATAGTCAATCTTTTTGCAATAAATCAGTCAACAATTGTCTAGTAATAAGCCAAGATTTTGTAGCGGGTGATATGGTGCGTGCAAAGGCTGTTCTATCAGAGCAGTCAGCCTTTGAAAGAGGTAGGCCTAGGGGAAGTGTTCCTAATTATCGCACGGTCCTAATTATCGCACAATTGTCCTAAATAGCTAAAATATGCACCCACCATCTTTTAAACCAGTGTTACGAAAAACAGTTCAACACCATTACTCCCAATCTTCATGATTTATTCATATATTCAGAAATATCTCTTCATTTTTTAAGAATTGTTTACTTCCGCCATTGTCATAAATGCTTTTGCGCAAGAAGTGAAATTCGTCTGACAAATTTTGACCCCCCTCCAAATAAAGACAGAAAAGTAAGTGTATAATGTATATTTTGTTGATATTTACACTAAAACTGATAGAAAAATGATTACAGCATATGTATGTATCTGTTATAAACAGAGAAATGTATACAGTATCGTGAAATGACATCTGAAACATAGCTGTGCGATAATTAGGACAACTGTGCGATAATTAGGACCACCGCACATGCGAGTCTAAGGGGTCTTAAAGTGTTAGCGTTCGGAGATTGAGAAATGTCAAACACTACTTAGATTTTAGAGGAAAAGTTGATCTTTCGTCTCCTATTCCCAAAGTAAGTTGAAGTTATCATATTTGAAATCGTCAGTAGTTTCCCTGAGTACCCGTGCGATGATAGGACAACTTCCCCTACAGAGAATTATTCTTTTTTTAGAAAAAATAATACAGTAAGTGGACTTTTTCCTACCTGTGTATCGGCGGTGTCGGAACATGATTGTATTTGAGACGATGTATATATGTAGCTACAATATACAATTAATACTACGCTTAAAATCAACGCTAAACCCAAGAAAAATCCTAAAATGTTTACAAATACAAACATTTCAAAACCCGGAACTGGAACCGGATGATGAGTTGTCGCAAAGTGTATTTTCTCGTAATTTTATTATTCCAGATAATGTCTTTCAATTAGGATGTATTTGACTAAAAATATTCATACTAATTGAAGATCTTTAAAAATGATTTTATCGTTATATTATCGAAAAATCATTTTATTGAGAATGGATATCAAAACTTGAGACTTTATAATAAATTATTTTTGTTGATGTTTGAGACACCACTGGCGGGCAAAAACAAATTTTGGTGAGTTTTATCAATTTACTGCGTCTTGAGGCTATTTATTAAGAAGAAATCGTATTGTTTTATTTTCCCTTTGAAACAGCAAAAATTTATTATAATCAATGTTGCCTGATCTACTCTTCCTACTGCTGTAGATGATTATTTTGTAATTTTGCTGTTTATTTTGGATTTTGGGGTGTCAATACGTCCAAATCCAAACAGGGGGGTAAACACGAACGGGTTCCAAATAATGGCAAGCAGATCATTGAATTGAATAATAGTACCTCTACTACCTCTACATAATATTTATAGCCTGAAAGATACAATATAATGATGTGTACCAACAATCTTACAATAAAATAATCAATTATGATGATTTAGGTGTTCGGAATTACCCCGATGCTAGTGTTTGGAATTACCCCACAAACTCTGTGCGTTTAAATAAATAGATGTCAGTAATAAATGATTTAAATTTGGGTTTCTTGATATGCTAATAATAATTAAAACAATTAAGATTAAGTTAAGGTGCTATGGAAGTTAACAGGAAATGACAAAACAGGAAGTGACAATTTTTTTTGCATTTTTAGATATTTTTTGAATAAAAATAACAGAGTTCTGGTTTGACCTCCAGTCAATTTAACTATTTCCACATATCATTTACATGACCAGGATCACAATGTGCATGGTCAGAATGACCCTAAACATGATGAAATAACCTTTTTAGCCCTTTGAAAGTGTGACTGAAAAAAAGCTAAAAGTAGGAGCGTAGGGATAGTCACTGAACAGAATCTTTTGAATTTTTCAGAAAATGTGCCCAATATAATGCTCTAACTAGTACAATCTTTGAAATTTTAGAAAATTGTCTTAAACAAAAATGGCAGTCATAAAAAGGAAAATAGATCGCTTTTCAAATCAGATTTTTCATTTTTTTTCTTTTTCTATGAATGATATCAAATTTTCAAAGATTGTATCATTTATAGCAATATATTGGGCACATTTTCTGAAAAATTCAAAAGATTCTGTTCAGTGACCTTCCCTACGCTCCTACTTTTAGCTTTTTTTCAGTCACACTTTCAAAGGGCTAAAAAGGTTATTTCATCATGTTTAGGGTCATTCTGACCATGCACATTGTGATCCTGGTCATGTAAATGATATGTGGAAATAGTTAAATTGACTGGAGGTCAAACCAGAACTCTGTTATCTTTATTCAAAAAATATCTAAAAATGCAAAAAAAATTGTCACTTCCTGTTTTGTCATTTCCTGTTAAGTTCCATAGCACCTTAAGGTACAGCTGGAAAGTAACATTTTGGTAAAAAATTGCTATACCTGCACATGTTATTTTCTGGTACAAAATAAAGTATGAAGGCATGTGTCAATTTCCTTGCTTTTTTCAGGAAAGTATCATTACATTGTCTTCTTTTAGAATATCTGGTAGGGGTTCAATGGGAACTCCAGGAAATTCTGATATTTCACACTTTCTATTTTTCCAAATTTTCTTTCAAAGTTTCCAGACAACACAGAAGCTTCCATTGACCTGTTTCCAGATATTCTAAAAGTAAACAGTGTAATGATACTTTCCTGAAAAAAGCATGGAAATACACACATGACTTCATACTTAATTTTGTACCAGAAAATAACATGTGCAGGTATAGCAATTTTTTACCAAAATGTTACTTTCCAGCTGAACCTTAAATGTTTGGAATTACCCCCATGCAAGTGTTCAGATTTACCCCCCAAAAAAACTCCTGTTCGGAATTACCCCCCTAAAATACCTTGTAGTAAAAATGGAATAACCCAGATATTTTTTACAATTTTTCGTAATTTTTTCTGCAAATGCATTCTACAGTGGATAATACACATAATATATATAGAATCATAGCATAGATGTGCAGTACAGCCAAGCTAACTACATTTTTTGATGGGGGTGTTTGGAAATAGACGTACTGACTCTACTAAATACCACCTAGGTGTCCCCTTGGGCACCTGAATTTCTAATTTCATTTTGAACCACGTACACATTTTAAATATAGTATTATTTCCTTTGTCATATTAACTTGACATTTAAGGTCAGGGTGCATGATTGGAAATTTTCTGCATTCCTCAATTGAGTCACATGTTATTTTTCAAACAAGAATCACTCCTTCCCCACATTGTCTACATCTTCCAGTTTTGCACAAAGAGTGCACTTATGTGCCTAGAAAAGACTTGTGAGAAGAATGTTTTGATAAAGTGTATAAAAAACAAGAAAATTCAGTGAAAAAAATCAGAAAATTTTCAGAATTTTTTTTCACTGAATTTTCTCATTTTTTATACATGTTACAAAACAAACCTTCTCACAAGGCTTGTGAGAAGGTACCACCTAGGTGGTATTTAGTACAACCCTTATTTTGTGATCAATCCATTATGCCGTGTCTCAGTCTCTGCATGCATGAAAGACCAGTCTAAAAGTATCTCTTCCCACCTTTGTATAAGACTGGCTCAATGTGCAAAAGAGTCCAAGGGGGTCTGAACTAGTGTTGTCACAATTAATTGATACATCGCGATGTACTTTGCAAAAAGTGATTGTGGTGATTGCATCGGAACATGGGCTTTCAATTCAAGTTGAAAGCCCATGATCGGAAGCAAATTTTTTTTGTTTAATTCTGAAAAATAAATCTGCTAAGTCGCCTTATCTTGTTTTGACCCAAATGTTTTACTTTTCTCATTTCTTCGATCATAATGGCTTCCAATTTTTATCTTACCGCCAAAAGTGTTCACTGACTTTTGTAATGGCAGTAAGCGGTCTTCGTCTGTAACAAATTCTTACAACTTCCAATAATTTAGCAAATACTGTTTAGAATGACTTCAAATTCATCTTTAAGTTCTCAGAAGTTCAAATCCGACTTTAGAATTGAGATTTGACCTTCAAGGACAGTCTCAAGGTCAAAAATGTTTTCAACTTGCTTCAAATTGACTGTATTTTTTTCAAGATCAGCAACAAGTTCTTAGAAGTTTTGATATGACTTAGATTTAAACTCATGATAGTTTGAGCAACTAGGTGGTGATATTTTGTCATGTTAATTACCAAGTTCACTTTATTTTCACTTCACCATTACTCCAAGTACCGAAGAACTATTTCTTATTTGTTGCGTTCAGTATTCTGGTGCATTTGCGTTTGGTATTTTAATGCATTTTTTCTCAATGTACAACCCAATCTACATCGATGTTTACTCCTGAAATTTGCTGATACATCGATGTACGTTTATGGCACATCACGACAATACTTGTCTTGACTCTTGATTGTGCTACCTATGGCAAGTTCAACAATGATCATATTCAACTTATGATTTCAATGCACTACACATGGTAGTTTTAAAATATTTTAAATTTTCTAACTCCTTATCATCCTTTACAATGTTGTATTCCAGCATACTTGACCTTAAAAGATGGCTGAGTCACAAAATGAATCTAACTACGCTCCGAGTGAGGCTTCTACAATAGATATCGACAACATGACACAGGTTACTGATACCACAATCGGAGACGCTGAAGTTACTATGCAGCCAACACCAGAGATTATTCAGCAGTCTAAAATCTGGTTGTCCAATCTTGCAGTCGAATACCAGACCGCACTAAGAGCATGTTAGTACACCAGGGGTTCTAATTATCCCACCGAACGAAGTTCGAGGGGGATATAGAGAAGCCGTCCGTCCGTCCGTCCGTTGGTCCGTCCGTCCGTCCGTCCGTGTGTCCGGGCGATAACTCAAATACCAGTTGATGGATTTGGTTCAAATTTTATAGGCTTATGCCTTATGAGTGTAGGACCTCTGCTCGAGAAGGAATTTTCAATATGGCTGCTCAATTCAAAATGGCCGCCATTTTTCGTAAAAAATGTAATCATTGATAACTCAAATAAATGTTGACGGATTTGGTTCAAATTTAATATGCTGATGCCTAGGGACAAAGGAGTTTCGCACAAAAAGAGATTTTCAAGATGGCCGCTTATCAAAATGGTGGCCATTTTTCGTAAAAATATGTAATCTTTGATAACTCAAATACCAGTGAACGGATTTGGTTCAAATTTTATATGATGATGCTTAGGGACACAGTAGCTATGTTCGTCAAAGATTTTTCAAGATGGCCGCTTAATTTCAAAATGGCGGCAATTTTTCGTAAAAAACGTAATCTTTGATAACTCAAATACCAGTGAACAGATTTGGTTGAAATTTTATATGATTATGCTTAGGGACACATTAGCTCTGTTCAGATAATACTTTTCAAGATGGCGGCTGAATTTTAAGATGGCGGCCGATTTTCATAAAAAACGTAATCTTTGATAACTCATATACCAGTGAACGGATTTGGTTCAAATTTTATATGATGGTGCCTAGTTCACAATGGTATAAATTAATTTTGTGCCAAATTTTATGCTTCTATCACAAAGTGCACAAACATTTCAACATTTACACTAGTTATAATAAACATAATATGTTTTGTTCGGTGGGATTTGCTACTCCGTGGAGTTGCTGTTTTTCTAGTTAACTTCTGACAACACGTGAAATGATCAGAGTACAATATAACCTGTCTACTCCAAACACCTCTGGGACAAGCGAGTGTTTGGATTAGCAGGTGTTTTAATTTCAAGGTTTATAAACATCCAAGTCAATGAGGTCTAAGTAATTTTGGGCAAAGAAAATGAAATAACAGTAAAAACTGTATCTGAATTCTGAACACTTAAAGAAAAGTGTTCAGATTGAAAGGTGTTCGGATTAGAGAGTTTTTACTGTATTATGATTTTTTTCCGTGAACTTATTGAACGACCTGGTATTATGTTTTATTTAGTCTAATCAAAGTAAAAATCTTTATAAATGCAGCTCATATGTTTTTTTGAGCAAATCCAAAATGGTAAAATATTAACCTGTCCTATAGTGACTTAAAACCTGTCTAATCTGAACAACACTTGAACCAGCCCAAAGTGTTCGGATAGGCAGGTGTTCACATTTTAAGGTTTTATCATGAATGTCTAGGGCTGATTAAAGATGGCACTGACAAAAGTGTTTACTCTGAGAGGTGTTTAGATTAGAGAAGTGTTCAGATATAAAGGTTTTACTGTATATTATATTTAAAGGTGTTCAGATAAGAGAAGTGTTCAGATATACAGTATTTACTGTTATTTCATTTTCATATACAATCTTATGTATATGTTAATGCATAGATTTTGGTTTGCCATTATTGGGGACCATACTTTTTAAATATTTTATATGGAATATATACACACCTTGGGGTGTCTTTTTCATGTTATTGACGAAATATTGTATGATGTAATTTTGAATGAATAATTTGAATTGAATTGAATTGAGAATAAATAATCAAGCATATGTAGAAATAATTGTTTCTGTTTCAGATAAAAACAAGGAAGAAGTCCCGAAAGATCTTGAATCGCTGAATGAAAGGTATGAAAGCACCCCAAAAATAGCATTCCAACACAGTTTTATTTATAGATGAGACATTTTTGTATAATGCCTCTGCTCCCCTCTCATTATCTCTACGAAATTTCAAACACTAATTAAAAGCCATCACTTATGGCTCCCGATTTCCCACAACTTTTGATCAGTATAGTACAGTAGAACCTGTGTAAGTAGAGCACCCTTGGACCACAAAAAGTATTCCACTTTTGGGTGTTCCACTTAGATGTGTTTCACGCAGCAGGTTCTATTGTTAGTACCTCATTTGAAATACTCAATTCTGATTGGTTGATCAGAGGTTAACAATATGTATTGTTAGTACCTCAGTGTAAATACTCGGATCTGATTGGTCAATTAGCGGTCAACATTTTTGCCTGTACCTCACTTGTGCATCATGGGATATCATTTTATTGACCGCGTATGTTACTGTACTACACTTGTGAATTATTGGAAATATGACGTCACAATGTTTACAGAAAAACATGGTAGTCGGACATTTTGTACACGTTGATGAAAGTGATATTTTGACTTTTCTACACGACGAGTATAGCAACAATACAAATAGAAACGCAAAATTAACATTAATTTACTAGTGAGTACGCAGTTGTGTGCCGAAAACAGAGAGTTTAGCTTCCACTGTCTTCAGATTTTCTTAAAAATTATTGCTGGCGTGGTTCGTAGAAAAGATTGTGAAATGAAGCCATGATTGATGACTGTCATATAATATTATTAGTTTCTTCTGACTAACAAAACAATTGTAGACCTCTCTATTCGGTCAACCGTCAAAATCATATACCTCGACTGTAAACCTTGAAACACTGTTGACCTCGACCTTCGGTCTCTGTCAACAGTAGTTTCTCGGTTTACAGTCTCGGTATACAATTTTGCCGGTTGACCTCTGGAGAGGTCAACAATTGTATACTGTTGACCGCTACTAGGTACCGTTGACCGCTACTTTTGAAATTTTGAAAAAATAAGTTGTGAAAAAATTACAAATATTTGACGCTTTGGGGATTTTTTGCTAAAATATGATACCTACAATTATATATATGTTCACGTGATATTCGATAATATATCCTTCAAATAATTATATTCTTCGGACTAACAAAACAATTGTTAACCTCTCTATTTGGTCAACTGGCAACATTGTATACCTCAATAGTAAACCCTGAAAGTACTGTTGACCTCGACCCCCGGTCTCGGTCAACAGAAATTTCAAGGTTTACAGTATCGGTATACAATGTTGCCAGTTGACCTCATGAGAGGTCTACAATTGTATACTGTATAGTGAATCAGTGTTTTTATGTTTCTAGGATAGCAGAGGCCCAGGTGGCTTTGATACAAGAAAGTGGACGGAAGAGCCAGGAAGAGCAGATTGTTCAACGGTGCGTCATTAATTTGCATATTGTTATTTTTAAGTTGCATTTCCCTCTTATAGTGTCTTTACAGAACCTGACTTAGATGCAAACATGATAATTTTGCAAATGTTGTAAGTCATACAAAGGGCCAATACTACAAACAGCCATCTTTTCGCTATGCTCCTGAAAATCCATTTAGAGTAAAACATGTATCAGTGGAATACCCATGTTACTGCAGAAAAGTGTTCAACTTGAGAAGTGTTCACGAACAGAGGTTTATTTTACAGTCATTAAGTTAAAAAGCTACAGAACGTGTTCCACTTATGGAAGTGCTCTACTTGAAAATGAGAAAAATTTGTACAATGTATCTTATATGATCTCATTGATTGTATTACAGTATGCAGATGACAGCCTGTTTAAAGAGCCACCTGTTTGATGAGAGACTCCCTGCTGCTGAGGGTGAGGGAAAAGGGGGTCATGGTGATAGCACAAATGCAGAATTTGACAAAAGGAAAAAGTATGTTTTGCTTGATTTTCAAAGCCTAATAATATTCATGTAATTATCCTAATAAACAGAGTTCGCTGGGGATATAGTAAAGCCCTCCAATCTCTCCGTCCATCTGGGAGATAGCTCGAATACTACACATGCAAATTACATCGGGCCCTACGCGAGGCTCGTTATCTGACTCTTTTACAACACAAAAAGATTATATAATGTCATGCTATATCATTCAAACATTTTTCATACATCCGATAACAAGAAATAGTATGATATCTACATCACATTTCAACTTGTTCCAGCATCGCATGCAAATGTTTTTATATGCATTTACTTCGCTTGAAGAGAAATGTGGTGTCTCTCATTGGTAATCCTGTTTATTTTGTTTCCCAGCTTTAATACTGTTTATGCCTGTGTAGTGGACAGATTTTCTTCATACTTGGTGGAAAGATGTATAAGTAGAAAATCTAATAATTTGTAAAAAACAATTTTTGTGTGAATATGTCATTTCCCACATCACCTAAGTAATTTCAGCTGATCTATTTACAAAGGGTGAATATGTCATTCCTCGAATCACATACAAGTAATTTCTGCTGATCTGTTCACAAAGGGTGAATATGTCATTCCTCACATCACATACAAGTTAATTCAGCTGATAGGTTTACAAAGGGTGAATATGTCATTCCTCACATCACATACAAGTAAATTCTGTTTACAAAGGGTGAATATGTCATTCCTCACATCACATACAAGTAATTTCAGCTGATCTGTTTACAAAGGGTGAATATGTCTTTCTCGAATCACATACAAGTAATTTCAGCTGATCTGTTTACAAAGGGTGAATATGTCATTCCTAACATCACATTCAAGTAATTTCAGCTGATCTGTTCACAAAGGGTGAATATGTCATTCCTAACATCACATACAAGTAATTTCAGCTGATCTGTTCACAAAGGGTGAATATGTCATTCCTCACATCACATACAAGTAATTTCAGCTGATCTGTTTACAAAGGGTTAATATGTCATTCCTCACATCACATACAAGTAATTTCAGCTGATCTGTTTACAAAGGGTTAATATGTCATTCCTCACAACACATACAAGTAAATTCACCTGATCTGTTTACAAAGGGTGAATATGTCATTCCTCACATCACATACAAGTAAATTCTGTTTACAAAGGGTGAATATGTCATTCCTCAAATCACATACAAGTAATTTCAGCTGATCTGTTTACAAAGAGTGAATATGTCATTCCTCACATCACATACAAGTAATTTCAGCTGATCTGTTGACAAAAAGTGATTATGTCATTCCTCGAATCACATACAAGTAATTTCAGCTGATCTGTTGACAAAAAGTGATTATGTCATTCCTCACATCACATACAAGTAATTTCAGCAGTTATTTCAGCTGATCTGTTTACAAAGGGTGAATATATCATTCCTCACATCACATACAAGTAATTTCAGCTGATCTGTTTACAAAGGGTGGATATGTTTTCAGGAAGTTAGTTGACCTGTTAGAAGAGCAGAGGGCCTTAGTGACCCAAATGACCACAGAACAACAGGTACATTATGAAGTTAATTATAATTACTGGTGTATATCTCATATATATGGGGACGATAAGACATGCTTTATCTTAACCCTAATATTGGGATATATTAACTTAAGTCAGAAAGTAGGTCAACATAGGTCAGAGTGACATTTTTTCCATATTGGTGTAATATTCATGAAATAAAAGGTTTGTACTATAATTGTGATTACTGATAGGAGCAACTGGAAAATGAATTTGAGGTTTATTGATATCAAGAAATTCCAAAATGTTGTTTAAATCAGCCATTTAAGTTTTGACCAGGATATCTCGGCAGCAGAAGCCATCACATTTCCACTGAACCCCCTCCACCCACCCACCTGCATTGGGGCTAATGCAGAATTTCCATTATGAGAAAAAGCTTGTAAAATGCCCACATGCAACAAAATTTTAAATTAAAGTGAATTTTAAATTTCTAGTATGTGTACTATGTACATATATTCTGGGGCCATGTGATCTAGGATTGGTTGTGGTTCTGGTTTGGTCATTATGGAGCACCCTGTAGATACAGTGAGACACAGAATTTGTAATTTTTGTGATCTCTGCTATTGTTCTGAAAAATGACGTTCATAGAAATCCAGTTAGATATACGGCTAATTTTTTAAATTTGTTGATGGCAGAATGCTTGTATGGCATTTATCAATTTTGTTTCATCCAATGTTTGAATATTGTCCAATATTTAATATATTATGTAATTTCAGAGATTTGAGGAACTCGCTGAAAGATTGGGTACAATTGACAGGGAAAATGCAGGTACGTTTAGTGTTACCAATAGAAGTGATTAACTCCCATTATTCAGTAATCCTTAATTATCAAATCATTACTAATTAATCATTGGATTGTCCTACAAAGCTATTACATGATATAGTAAAACCTGCATATAGTGAACACATATAGAGCCACAAAAATGTGTTCACTGTAGCTAGGTGTTCACTTCAGAGAGGGTATGGAGTATTTGTCAAGATAGTGTTCTTGAATGTGTCAAGAATGTGTCAAGAAAGTGTTCTTGTATGTGTCAAGAAAGTGTTCTTGTATGTGTCAAGAAAGTGTTCTTGTATGTGTCAAGAAAGTGTTCTTGTATGTGTCAAGAAAGTGTTCTTGTACGTGTCAAGAAAGTGTTCTTGTACGTGTCAAGAAAGTGTTCTTGTACATGTCAAGAAAGTGTTCTTGTACGTGTCAAGAAAGTGTTCTTGTACGTGTCAAGAAAGTGTTCTTGTACGTGTCAAGAAAGTGTTCTTGTACGTGTCAAGAAAGTGTTCTTGTTCGTGTCAAGAAAGTGTTCTTGTACGTGTTAAGAAAGTGTTCTTGTGCGTCTCAAGAAAGTGTTCTTGTACGTGTCAAGAAAGTGTTCTTGTACGTGTCAAGAAAGTGTTCTTGTACGTGTCAAGAAAGTGTTTTGTACCTGTCAAGAAAGTGTTCTTGTACGTGTCAAGAAAGTGTTCTTGTACGTGTCAAGAAAGTATTCTTGTACGTGTCAAGAAAGTGTTCTTGTACGTGTCAAGAAAGTGTTCTTGTACGTGTCAAGAAAGTGTTCTTGTACGTGTCAAGAAAGTGTTCTTGTACGTGTCAAGAAAGTGTTCTTGTACGTGTCAAGAAAGTGTTCTTGTACGTGTCAAGAAAGTGTTCTTGTACGTGTCAAGAAAGTGTTCTTGTACGTGTCAAGAAAGTGTTCTTGTACGTGTCAAAAAAGTGTACTTGTACGTGTCAAGAAAGTGTTCTTGTACGTGTCAAAAAAGTGTTCTTGTACGTGTCAAAAAAGTGTTCTTATTCATAATTCATCTTTACAATTGGATTCCTGTTTAGTAATAAGGAAAGGAAATTAGCATCACTGTTTTTTATCAAAAAATATCACGAACTGCCATATTTTGTGATGTACCGTTTGACCTTGATGGCATCTTTGAACTTTGGGAAAACTCCTCCACTTAAGTGTTTGTGTGTTTACAATTTGGATATTGTGCATGCTAGATATTGTGGCCACAACTCCATTTTCATAAATATATATATAAATTAACATAAATGTATAAAAGAAAAATAGCACCTGCCCTTTTTGAGAAAAAATTTAATGGTTCTCTTGACTTTCAATAACTATGAAAATGAATATCATGGATTTTGAATACCTTTAAAATCCTTTGTATTTTAAAATCAGCAAATAAAATTTAATAAAACATTTTTAGTTTTTTTTATGAACATTTTTATTTTGATTTATGTATTTGCACAATACAAAGTCATTTAAAGTTTTTAGTAAATGGTAAACATTAAAATACAGAGAGAGGTTAATGAACATTAGTAATTTTGGGCGAGCAGTTAAAGTGTATATACTAAACATATAAAAGTAATATACTAAGAGGACATTGCCTGTATGATTATTGATCTTAATATTAGTTTGACATATTGTTTGTTTGATTAATGTATTAATACTATCATTTTTACAGTATATGTAGACATAATATCTCATCAATTTGACTATATTGAATTTTCAACAGAAACGATATCATGAGAATTGATGTGATATTGTATTGATCCTATGATTACATAATAAGAGAGCCTATCTTACTTATAATGGTTATCACATATCACATGTTAGGTTTAATTGTTTTGTAACGAAGAATTTTGAGGAGACAAAATCTTTCTTTACAATGCTTTTTGTCAAAATGCTTCATTAACCCTATTGTTTAACATGTACGAATTAATAGACACTATGAACAATGGGTTAATGCCACATTGCATCTTATTGTGAAGGTCGAAGCAGAGAATATATTTTAAATTCTCATTGGATACAACTATTTTATATACAAACATTTTTGTTGTGAATTAAAGCAAAATTGCTCATTCCTAATACAATAGAATGTACTTTAGTTCACATGAGTATATGTAACTATTTACATGCGCATATTCATTCATTTGTTAATACATTGGAAAGGACTGATTACATAATTGACCCATTTCCCATTATGTCAATGTAAAACTCTGTCTCTATTAAAACAAACAGATTTTTTCAAAACATATATACAATAAAAACAAAGACCGTCTATCAAGCCCTAATTTGAATCAAAAAATCCTGATTTATATAATCCTGATATCTTTTGTTAGCCTCTTGACTGCCTGGAGTGACAAGATTTTTCATCACCTCAGAAGTGTCCTTGAAACCCAGTGACGAGAAAATCCATCACAAAATTTTTCCCTAAAATTGGTCTTATTTGAACAATTTTCATTAAATTCACACAAAAATTGTTTTAAAATGTGTAGAACTGATCTCTGCCATCTACTTTTACAAAGTTGAGCATCTAAAGTTGAATGGGTATGTATTAAAATGTAAAATGTCTACCGATTTTAGAGCCTGGGATTCAAAAGGTTAAAAAACATTTTCCAACGAAACATCTTGATTTCTTGTCAAAAATACAGAATTATTAAATCATTTTTTGCAGACCCTGATTTTTCTCCCCATTTATTTTGATCATTCCTGATTATCTCCTGATTCTTTTGAATTGTAGGTTTGGGTTTTGTAATTCTGATTTATCTCTTGACTTTTTAGAATGCCCTATTTTAACCAAATTTTTTTAAGACACCCGATTTTGTCCCGATTTACCAGAAAATATTTCTTTTCAGACAACCCCAATTTTTCCCATTTTTTGATATCTTGATTTTTGTTTTATTTTTTATTTGAAAGATGTGCGCAGATCAGAAATTACAGTCTATTAATGTGTTATGAAGTTTTAGATAAAACATCCAACAAGTAAATTCATTCTGTTACCAAATACCGCAGGAAAAAGAAGAGATGCTCAAAGCTCAAAGACCCCACCAATCCTCAAGAAACAGCAAAAATCATTGAAAACTAAGCTATATATCTGAATATTTTGAGTTAACAAAAACATTTAATGCAATTTAACTGTGAATTGTGTTATCACACAATAAACCATCAACATACTCGTATATCATAATGCGTCCATGAATAAACCAACGACACTTAAAAAGACTGGTGAATGTGAGTTCGATTTTTTAGTAAATAAATATTTCTGATGTTTTCCAGGGTGGTTTATTTCATGACTCAGGAACATCAATTGAAGTTTTATGAAAACTGATCCACTGTAAATAAAAGGTGCATCAACAAACCAGAAAAACAACTTGTTGCATTTATAAAATTCATATACCAGTAAATCAATTGTTCTATTTGTTATTGTGACTAATTTTCAGACCCCAACCAAATATAGCATATACAACATATAAATATAATTTTCTCTTCAAAAGACCTTTGAGTACTTGAAACTGATAATTCTTAACAAAAACACGTTTATTTGATATTGATCTTCTGATTTAAAAACACTTTAAATGATGCAAATTCATGCATCAAACAAAAAACCTAAATACTTTGGTTGATCATTTGAAGTATTATTCCAAAATTTTGAATTCATTGCTGTGTATCTTACATTCCCCTAATGCATGCATTACTAGGGCTGATATATATGTTGCAGTGCATAAAAACAACAAGATGTTGCATACTGTCCTTTCTTTCTTGCCCAAAGTAATTTCTTGTACAATGACATTGGGATGACATGAAATAAAAATGCATATCAGTTCTATTGTGTGAAAAGATATGCTTGAAACACCAAAGGTTAAATAAACCTTTTGTACATATGCTACATCAACTGACTTTATTACTCCATTCAATACTAACCAGGGATAGTATTGAACGGGAATAAGACACAGCAACATACCAAGCAGCCATATAATCAAAGGGACTGGAGATATCTGAAGACAAGCACAAGGCATGTAAGACAACATGGTTAAAATAAAAATTATAAAATAGAAGACATATGAAAAAAAGTAACCAAAAGATTCAGCCCATATAAACACTTCTAAACTGAGTATTGTTCTCCAGTGAAAGAATGTTAATGGTAAACAAAGTATACACAAGAGTATTATCAGCCAGCAGTAAACACATTCCAGTGTTTGAGCACTACATTGGCATTTTTTAGTTACGCATTCATTTCCAATCTGAGGATTTGCCTCAATATTTGTCTCACGACCTGCCTCTGATAAGCTGCTACTTTGGGCATCTAATTTATTTTTTAACCTAGGGCATAAAACTTTGGCTACCGCCTTTCCCTTGGCAGTCAGATAATTTTTCATGCTATCATACATGTACTTCATATTTTTTCATGTAAATTGCACTATTTAATGTGATATGTTTTATTATATGAAACTTTTTAATTTACTAAACTTTTATAGCAATTCCCTAAATACCATAAATGTTAACCTTTATGCTGGTGATGGATATTAAAATTGCAGAATGATGAAAAATCAAATTAAAGTGTTTGCCAATTATTTTGATTTTCACACTGTTAAATTGACTATTCACAATGAATCTACTTTACTTCATTCATAAATTTTAGTCTGTTATTCTATACTTCTTTTATATAGCATATGTGTTCAGTTGTATAGTACTATAGTCCCTTTTAAATCCAGGTTATGTCTTGATGTCCTCTGAATCATCCATTGAAACACTCAGGCTCATGGCAATATCAGTTGTTTGTTATGTTATTTATTGCATGTACATGCTAATGCACATTATATATATATATAGTCTAAGTATTCTCATATGTGTATTCCTTATAGAGGTGGTAAAATGTGTCAATAGTTAGTTTAATGTTGCCTTCTTCAGTTAACACCTATAAGTATCTGAACTGAGCTGCATAGGCTTCTCAAGTCTTCTACCATTGATTGTCATTTCATTTATTTAAATGTCTCGCATTGTC